ATTTAATACCAAATTTTAAACGTGAATAACTCCGTCAATATTGATGCTACAAATATAAAATACATATCATTGGAATCCTCTCGATGAGCTGAATCCAACCGTGTAAAGATCATAAACATCGAATCACTGGATGCGGAGTTCGTTAACTTTGAATTTTAATATTATTGTTTACTATAAAATCATATAACTATAACGTAATTTCGACCATTTCGACTTTTGGAGGGGTTCAAGTCGAAATCATTTTGACCATTTCGACCATTTCGGAGGTTAAAATTAACCAATTTTGGTTTCATGTATACTTTTAAGCATTTATTTTCTATTTAATCTTTAATATATAATTTTATCTAACAGCAAAAACAAATAAAATTATATATGTAAAATTATATAAATTATTAAAAAAACTATTGATTAGTAATATATGTTAAGAAGTATTTAATATAATTAAAATAATTTTTTATAATATATAAAGCAAAATTAATAAAAAGTAATAAATAAATAATGAACATTTTTTTTTTCTTACAATGCATTTGAAAGTTTATTAAATATATTGTTAAAGCTAAATTACAAATATTATTAACTTCTAAACCACTCATCATGCTAAAAAGCACCTCACATATGTACTGTCAGGTGGAGTTTTTGCTCAAAGGGTAGGGTAATAATAAGGTTACCTGCCTAAACCTCTTCAAAATTCTACAATTAGTTTCTCCAAAATTTTACTGTAGTTTTATTATAGTTTCGGCAAGATTTTAGCAGTTTCGGCATTTATAATAAGTTTTGTCAGGTTTCGCTTTTCTCTAGAGTTTCGCCAACTTTTTAATAAAACTTTCATATAGTTTCAGCAAAGTTTCACCATTTCAGCATTTCACCAACTTGCCAAAACCCCCTAGTTTCTCCAGCAACCTTAGGTAATAAACATTTTATTAAATATTAACAATTTTAATATTATTAAGTATAAAGGTTATTTACTAAAAATTTAGTTTATTGCAATAAAGTCAATTTGTCAGTACCATTCAAGTTTTTTTTTATCATCTTCATTATCTTTAAGACAATTATTTTTTCCAAAAAAATGGATATAATGATTATCAAAAAGAGTTAAAAACTTATATATCACCACTATATTAATAATGATTTATAAAGATTTAAATTTAATATTGAAAATTCATTATTTAAAGATAAACAAATATTAGAAAATAATATATAGATCAATATAAATCATAATAAAAATGGAAAAAATAATGATAATAACAATATAATTAATACAAAATAGTGTAAATATAAAAATATAAATAGTATAAATATTATATTAAACTTATTAAATTTAAATTTTATTAGGATGTTAAAACTATTAAGATTTCTTTAATAAGTAAGAATATTAAATTAAAATTAATATTAACATTAATATAATTTAAAGTTAAAATAAAAATATTTATTTAGAAAAAAATGTTAGTTTAAAGTTAGTGTAAATTTAAAATAAAACTTTAATAGATTAAATAATTTGGCCTATTAATTTAATATATATTTGGATCAATATTTAAAAGAAAGAAAATTTTACATGAATTTTTCTTAAAAAAATATTTTGCAATATTTTTTTTGAAAATTAAGTATAACTATTATAAAAATATTTTTTTGAAAATTAAATAAAAATATAGTAAAAATATTATAAAAATTATAAAAATATTTTTTTTTATAATAATTTAATTAAAAAAAATATCTTACATTTTTTTTTTTTAATATTTTAATAATAAATATTGCAAACCTGTTTTTTTTAAATATTTTTTTAATAAATATTTTAATAAAAAAATATTTTACAATGTTTTTTTTTAAAAAAACATTTTTAATAGAAAATTTAATAAAAAAGTTTTTTAATGTTTTTTTTGAAAATATTTTTTCTTAATATTTTTTAAATAAACTTATAGGGTATATTCACAATAAGGTTGCCTGCCTAAACCTCTCCAAAATTCTACGATTAGTTTCTCCAAAATTTTACTATAGTTTTATTATAGTTTCGGTAAGGTTTTGGTGGTTTCAGCATTTATAATAAATTTTGTCAGGTTTTGCTTTTCTCCAGAGTTTTGCCAACTTTTTAATAAGACTTTCATATAGTTTCGGCTAAGTTTTACCATTTTGGCATTTCGCCAACTTGCCAAAACCCCCTAGTTTCTTCAGCAACCTTAATTTGTAAATAAGTAGAGTGTAAATTATTTATAATAAATTTAAATCTTATAATTTTTCTTTAAATAAGGATTACTACTCTTTTTAAATATAATAATAATAATAATAATAAAAATAATAACTTTTGAATAAGATTTCTGACTTGTGATATTTAGGTAAAATTATTAAATCCATAATTCATTTTGGGTTGAATTAAGTCAATTATCTAATCTGATCTAAGGTTGCTGAAGAAACTAGGGGGTTTTGGCAAGTTGGCGAAATGCCAAAATGGTAAAACTTAGCCGAAACTATATGAAAGTCTTATTAAAAAGTTGGCGAAACTCTGGAGAAAAGCAAAACCTGACAAAACTTATTATAAATGCTGAAACTGCTGAAACTTTGCTGAAACTATAATAAAACTACAGTAAAATTTTGGAGAAACTAATCGTAGAATTTTGGAAAGGTTTAGGCAGGCAACCTTAATCTGATCCAATCTATTTGAAACTTTAAAAAACAAAAATTTTATTTATAATTTTTACTATATATTTTAAATTTTATAGTTTATTTATTAAAAATATTATTAGACTTTTTTTTCTTTTAATATTTGATTTTATAATACTATATATATTTTAAAGTGGCTATAAATATTTTTCTTTTAATAATCTATTTAAAATATTACTACAACTTTGAAATTTATTGATATAATTATAATAAAAAAATTTACTTTTTATTAAATAATATTTATTATTTTATAAAATTTCTGATTTTTTTTCTTTTTTATTATATTTTAAATATCTTTAATATTTTAATATTGTAAAATTAACTTATTTTGTTTTTTGTAAAGTAATGGATTGTATTATCCTTAATATTAATCCTATTTTTATTTTACCTCATTTATTATTCATTTTTAACTAAGTATTAATGAGTTTAAAATAATATGTTTTACTATAATATTAATTTAATAATCCTATAAATAATATATTTGAATGATTTAGAAGTTCCATATATATGTCTTCCATTTAGATGAATTATATCTAGATCTAACTATATTTATATTAAATTTATATAAAAGATAGGTCATATATTTTTTAGATAGACTTCTTTCTCAATTATTTTGATACTAATCAATTTTTACAAAGTTACGAGAGATATTTATTTATATAAAAACTTCATATACTTTCTATAAAGGATTGATTTTAAATCAAATAATAAGGTATTGTAATTTAAATGCTTTGTAGCTTCAATCCTTTTATTAGAAAACATCTAATTTGTTAATTTAACAAGAGAAATATGATAAAAATTACCCACTTCAAGAATTTCAATTATCGAATTTAAACTATTACATTAATATTATTATTATTACTACCTTGAATCTTTTTAAAAAATATTATGTTAAAATTAGAGTTTCGAATATTCTTATGTATGTGATTAATAAATCTACTAAAGTCCCTTATTATTATTTATTAAGTCATATTTAACCTTGTATCATTCGTCCACCAAAATTATTATTTAAATGACTACTAGGATTACGTTGTTTAGCAATAATATCTTCTAATGTCCATAAACTAACACCTCTTTGATCATCAAACGGTTGTGCCATTGATCTTAAGAATTTTTTAGCTCTATCCAATGACATATCTGTTGATAAATTAGTTGCAGAATCAGTTATATATTGATTTATCCATTTTGGTAACTTATTTCTTTTATCTGTTCTTCCAAATCGCTAATTTATTAGATTATAAGTTAGTAATTTGTAGAATTAAATTACTTTATATGCAAAAAACTAAATATAAGACTACTCACCTTATCAGCAAATATCATAAGCCCATAATCTGTTTTCCCTCTTAATACTCTACCAACGCATTGAGCTGCATGGCGCATGGCATCAAAAGTCAAAAAATCATTTTCTCGTATTCGATAATTCTCTCTTAAAAACTCCAATCTTGCCTTAATATGTATAACCAAGATTAGATTTATATACTTGGAAACCCCGTACAAATGACTTTACCATATTAACTTACCTTTAATATTCTATTTTCGGTATACTGATAAGGAACACCAAACATTATTACAGCACGTCCATAGTTATGATCAAAATCTATACCTTCTGATACTTTACCACGAGCAACAGATAATAATATTGCTCCACGTCCATTATCACATGCCTAAATTTACGAAAAAACTTGATGTTAAAATAAATAGGCTACGCAAGGTCATGAAGGTAAAACATACGGTTCTATAATTTTCCAGTGCAAGACTTGTTTCTGCTGCATCCGGTGTTTCTACAAATATTAATTTATGTTTCCATGTTTCATTCAATATTCCCTAATAAATGTTAAAAATAGATATATTATAATAAGGAAATAAATAGTTTTTTAAAGTTATACGCTATTTTTACCATATCATTCCACATAGAGACAATAGATTCCATATATAAATAACTTGGAAAAAATGCCACAATTCCATCTGGCACGATTTTAGAAAATTCAACTAAAATTTGACCAAAATTTCTTACTACGGCTGGATCATTTCTAACTTCAAATTTTGAACTTATTGCAACTTGGTCACTTCCTCTTGTAATAACCTGAAATAGGGAATAAATTATTAAAAATAAAAAAAAAAAGTAGTTCTAAAACAGGATTAAATAAAAATTACTTACTAAGGGTAAGAAACAATTTCTAGTAAGTGTCATTGAATAACTTTCTTGTACAACTGGTTGAAATGATAACATTTTAGGGTACATATCAAGTGGTGATAATGTTCCCGATGTTATTACTACAGTTTTAAATCTCTCAAATACAGGCTTTATTGCTATAGAAGCATCTAGACATCTGATTAAATAGAAACAATCTTTATACTAAGTTATTTGAATTCATTAAAAAAGAAAAGAAAAGTAAAAATTATTTTGACTAACGCGTAATGAAGTATAGGATTCGGGACAGTTTCATTTTCAAAAGGTTCCAAAATCAGCAAAAAACCTAAAATTGTAATAAAAAATTTTTTTAGCATATTTAATGTGTCATTATCAAAATCTTGAATATTTTCCTTGAAAACCGAATTACCAGTAGCATATGTGGCCACAAGAGTTGCAAAAGCTGCAACTTTATGTAATGCATAATATTCATCAAGGTCCGATAATTCCAATGTATGAATCAACGAAGTTAATCTTTGGCTGCAAAACCTACGTATATGTTCACAAATTTTATTAGACGAATTCTAAATTACTTTAAACAACATATTATTTTAACCAACCTCAAGGGTTTCGCCTCAATAAAAGTTAATTCTCTTAAATGTTGAAGAAATGAACTAGGAGTTTCTGCAACGACATGCTGTATTCGCATTCTTGTCTAAATAAAAAAAAAATGAATTAGCAAAAGTGATTAATAATAACGAATGCATATAATCATTTACATACTTTTATATATTCAATAAACCTTCTAAGAAAAGCAATAAAATGTTCTGCTTTTCGAATATTTCCAGGTATAGCTTCTGTGAGCAAATCATCGGGCAACACTAAATTGATAGACGTAATTAATTCATTTGGAAATGCAAATTATTTTTTTAATTAAAATATATAAATTGGTATTTACCTGGATTTGACATGAAAGTATCTTCATCTCTAGCTTCTCTAGCAGCTCTTAATCCTATAATATGTTAATAAATAAATTCGAATATTTATATTTATGTATTTATTTTACTTAACAAACCTTCAACTAGCTTTGTATATTCATCTTTTAATCTTTCGGAATCTTTAGCTTTAACTCTAATATAAAAAAATTTATAAATTTGGCAGAAAAACTTATCTTTCAACTGTATATCAAATAACTTACTCATCGATTTTCTCTGATAGCTTAGCAATACTTCTTGCACTTGCATCCAGATTAGGCTTTGTAAGATCAATGCTTAATGATTCTATACATACATTATCTAAAAGTATCAAAGTATAACTTCAATGAATATTTACTAAATTGTAATTTAATCTTTTTTCAAAAAAAAAAATACCAATGTTATGTGCTTCGTCAAAAACCACTATACAATTTTTAGACAACTCTTTTGAAACTAACTCAGCAACTTTCGGATCAAGTAAATAGTGATAACTATATATTACAACATTTGCAAATGGAATCTATCAGACATTTAATATAAAAAAAATTAGAACTTATTTTTCAATGAATAAAATATTGTATTAAAAATCTAGTAATAAATTACCACTCTCCTAGCTAAATAATATGGACAAAAACACTTCTCTTTACCAAAAACTCTCAAATCTTCTAACGTATAAACACCATCCATCAATAATTCATTTGGATCATGCTTTTCTAATGTCTATAAATTATAAAATTAATTACTTATAATTTCTAAAAAATAATATAAAATTTATAATTACCTCATAAAAATCACACAGTTCTACGTTTGAATCGAATTTAGATTTGTCTCTCACCCAAGAAGCAGTTAAATTTCTACATTTAGCGTCAACCACTTTTCCCCATTTTTGCTGACTAACTGTAGGGTGTAAGCAAAGGTTTTTTCTTGAAGTTAATCCGATTCCTAAAAATGATTCTTCCACACCCTGGGATTTCCGATATTCAATTAAGATTTGAAGTTCTGCTAATGCTTTTTCAATTTCTGGTACTGTTCTTGAGCAATATATTAATTTTCGTTTTTCAGAGTAATGCTGTAAGATGTTTTTAAAAACAATTTGGTAAATTGTGGGCATAATAGATTCAGGTTTTAAAATATATGAAAATGAGTATTCACCATTTGATATGCTACGATTAAGGACAATAATGATACTGTTTTACCAGTCCCTGATGGCATTTCAAGTACACAATGTCCCTGATTAATTGAAAAAATTATAAATTAATCAGAGAAAAAAAATAATTATTATGAAACAATCAATAGAAATTTTCTTTCTTTTATTTATATGAACTTACTTCAGCGTCAAGGGCTTTTTTCAGATCCGACATATAAGCATATTGTTCAGGATATATTTTGTCATAAGGAAAATAAACTGGTAAACCATCTATCGTGAAACTAAAAAATAAAAAAAAAGAGTTTAAATTTTATTTATGAATTAGAAGTAGAAGAAAAAAGAACTAACCGCATGTTTCAAAAAGTATTTGATTTGATTGATTTGACCACTAAAAAGAGATGGATATATATGTAGTCTCGGAAAAATCAATAATTTCTCCGTGCTACGGATCAGCGTTCTACACATATGGAAATAAGGAAATTTCACTGTGTAATTCAATTTTATAATTTTATTGGTCACTATTAGGATCCTAATTTAAGTTTCCGTTAATATGAGTTAGTAATTTAATTATCAGTAAATAATACCAGGATCTTTTTTTTTAATTCTAATTCATCAGATTTTTTCAATACCAGAAAAATTTTATCCGATTCATTACAAGTTGGCCTTTGTGAAATAGGATTTTTTAAAAAAACCAAATAAAACATTTGGGAGCGCTTTACCGAATTTTGTCTTAGGCCGTTACAATTTTTAAAGCAAGATAATGTACTGTAAAGGCCTTGAATTGTTGTCAACAGATCATTTTCCTTAATTCTCAAATGAAATAAATTTTGTAATTATGCGATTGTCTTAAGGATAAGTCCAACTTTCAGGAATTCTATGCAGATCACTATAATTCACATGGATTTTTATAATAAAAAGCTCGAAAATAAAAAAACATTTTAATAGTATTGGTTAATTGTAATATATTCGATATAAAATTAACAGTAATCCACTTAAATCTGATTGGTGAGTTATCACTTCGTACAGTACAGTTTATATGTATACTCAATCGCTTACCCTAATCACCTAATCAACTTACCTTATTTTGCTATTTATAAAAATTATAAAAATTTCTAGTTACCGTCTGTACGACGATAATCAGATGATTATCGTAAAATTAATATATATATATTACATTATATAAATCAGTTCATCCTCATCTTAGATTTTATCATGTTATCTAAACAAGGAATTAAATTTCCTAGATTCTTCGTTCAATTACGTAAAAATTCTAGTATTCCAGTTCCAACCTCAACTATAATAAAAACCGGGCAAATTGTATCTCGATTAGGATTTGGTGGATATCGAATAAATAGGAATGATGATAGTCATAAAGTAGCACTTGAAAAAGCAATAAAAAGTGGTATCAATGTAATTGATACAAGTACTCATTTTGAATTTGGTGAATCCGAAGAAGTTATTGGTAAAGTTTTAAACAATGCTATTAAAGATGGAACCGTTACTCGCGAGGTATCTATATATATTGACGTCATAAATTTGTTAACATGCAAATCTCGTTAAAATTTTTTTTCTTAGGGAATGGTAATAATCTCTAAAGCAGGATATGTAAATATTGCAGATACGACACACTTGGATGATTCATTTGCAAAAATCAATGATAAATCTGCGCATTCTATTTCTCCCGAATTTTTAAATAAACAAATCTCCGACTCATTGTCACGTTTAAATCTTGAAAAACTTGATATTTTTATGCTTAATAATCCCGAAAGAATTTTACAAGCTAAAAATAAGGTTTGATGTTTACAAAATTAAGTAAATCAATAAAGTTGAACAAATAAAAAAATTATATTTTTTCTCTTCATTCCTAGCACTTATCAATTAGCAATTTGTATGATGACATCGAAAGAGCACTTGATTACTTGGACAAAGAAGTAATGAAAGGTTTGAAAAATGATTTATCACAGCTTAATAATCAAAGCCAGCATTTTAAATGATGATTCTCATCTATAATCTAATTAGGAAGAATTGGTGGATATGGAATTTGTTCCAATTCAATGGCAATTTCAATAGCAGCTGATCACATTTCACTGCCAAAAATTTTTGAAAAACTTTCAAATTCTAGTAAAAAAAATTTTATGTCGATTCAAACACCTTTTAATTTATTTGAAAGAGATTTAATTCAAAGAGGTGTTGGTCAAACTTGTTCTCTTGCTGAATATGCGAAGGTATAATTATTGATACAAGCTTTTATTCACGAAAAGATTCAATAAATAACTTATTAAAGCACCTTAGTCTAATGATATATTCGTATTCACCAATCGGCCGCTTCATGCTATGGCCGGAGGAAGCATCCGCAAACTTGTTAACAACCGAGATTTAAGAGATTTACGTAGGTTGATTAGTGCAATTAGTGCGTCTGACGTTTTCATCATCTTTAATCGTGTATATGTTTATGTATATTTCGATATATTTAAACAGCCGAACATCAAATTGTTAATAATCTTTCAAACGGACTTCAAAGATTAGATCAGTTAGAGAGTGAATTTAGTAATGAATTATGTAAGAATTGTCTTTTTTCTTAAAAAACAAACCGTTAAAATTTTATTTATTCTAAAAAGAAAAATTATTTTTCAGTTCCGTTAGGACATCCATTGTCAACGAAATTTATATGGTCTCAAATATTTTCACAAAATTTATCGAGATTATCACAGAATCATTTTGCTACAAAATATTATTTGGAAAAACAAGCTAAACCTGCTATAATAAGAGATTTAGATTGCTTATGTGATTATGTGAAAAATATGGCTTTAGATGAAGAAAAAAGTAGATTACAAAGTTGGATGATGAATTATCAAATGGTTGGTTAAAAAAAAAAAATATATATATATTTTTATTATGTATATATTTTTTTTTATAACTCCTCTTTTTTTTTAAGGAAACGCAATCTCTTATGGATTCAATGGTTTCATATGCACTTATAAATGTATTACACAGTAATGATGAACTTGATTCTATAATATCATATCTCGCTCCTTCATTATATTTAGAAACTGTTCAACATCATTCTCCATTATCTGTAAAAGCACTTCGAATTAATTTGGCAAATCAAATAATTGGATGTGTTTTAGTTGGCATGAGAAAACCCGAATACGTTCAAGATTCTTTATCAGCTTTAGAATTAAGTGATGACGATTATTTAACCATTGAAGCTTTAAATGATATATATGCGAGTCAAAATTTTCAATAAAGCCCAATTTTTAAATAAACTATAGATTCTATAGATTAGTGATAAGATTAGTTAACAAATCAGGTTAGAACAATTATTGATCTACATAAAACTTCCAGTCTTTTATTAAAAATTTAAACTACTTTCTATATACTTTTTTAGCGGACTTTTTTTACTCATCTTTCGTGAAATGGGCTTAGACTTGGACGCTTGCATTTCTCAGCTTCTTCAAAAGCAACTGTTAGCAGAGTCTCTTATCAAAGAAATTTGTGAAAAGACTAAAGAGCTGTTAATGAATGAAAGCAATTGTGTTTCAATTTCAGCGCCTGTCACCGTAGAAAGTGTCTTTTTTATATATTATGTATTTGTTAAAAGGGAATAAATATTTGTAATTTAAGATTATTATTTTCTTCTCTTTTTTTTTTATTTAATTTTTATTTATAAAGGTCGGCGATATTCATGGGTAAATATTACCTTCTTAAACATTGTGCTCGTGAAATAGAAAATTTAATTTACTTGATAGATTCAATATTGTTCCATAGGCAATTTTATGATCTTATAGAAATATTTCGGATCGGAGGGTATTGCCCATCTACAAATTATCTCTTCCTTGGTACATAAAGATTTCAACCACTCTCAAAGTCTTTAAAAAAAGCGGTACAGTCGAATGTTCATAAACAAATCATCGCCTTGTTCGGTTTCCTGCAGGCGATTATGTGGATAGAGGACTCTTTAGCGTGGAGACGATATCTCTGTTGACATGCCTGAAATTACGTTATCCTCACAGGGTTCAATTGGTTAGAGGAAATCATGAATCAAGAGCCGTTACCCAGGTAAATTTTATATTATTTTATATATATATATACATTTTTATAATCCATGAATTTAAATAAAGTAAAAATAATTTCAAAATAGACCTACGGATTTTATACTGAATGCGTAAGAAAATATGGTTCAACAAACGTTTGGCATTATTTTACAGATATGTTTGATTATCTCACGTTATCGGTTGTAATTGATGACAGGATTTTCTGCGTACACGGAGGTTAATTTTTTATATCTTATTTTAGCATATCTTAAATTTAACAGCAGGTATTAATATTATTTGCTCATAATCGCAGGATTATCGCCTTCAATACATAGTATTGATCAAATAAAAATCCTTGATAGATACAGAGGTATGTTTTTATTAACATGTAAATGACTTATAATATTTAATCACAAATAAATTAATACATTTGTTTAGAGATACCACACGAAGGCCCAATGGCAGACTTGGTTTGGTCTGATCCTGATCCAGACAAAGATGAATTTGCCATTTCACCAAGGTTATTAATTAATTATTGTAAATCAAAAAGTAGTTCGTTTTATTTAAATTTCAGTTATTCTAATGTTTGTTTGTTAACAATTTTAAGAGGTGCTGGCTACACTTTTGGGGGTTTAGTTGTCAAGAAGTTTCTTGAAATAAATAATATGGAACATATTCTTCGTGCGCATCAACTTTGTATGGAAGGATATCAGGTAATTTCATTAACAATATCAAATTACGTGTGCAATTTCTTTAAGTTCCATTAATATACGATTGCGTACGCAGGTTCTCTATGATGATCGTTTATCAACTGTATGGTCTGCACCTAATTACTGTTATCGTTGTGGAAACATGGCTTCGATCTTAGAAGTTGGTGTAGATGGACAGAGATTTTTTAATGTGTTTGATGCTGCACCTGAAAATGACAGAGATGGTCCTTCACAACAAACTTCTTTAGAGAAAAAAGTAAGTGATAACGTGTATATAACTTTTTTTTTTTATTTAGTCTAATTTAATATAATACCTTAGGATAAAATTCACTATTTTCTGTGAAATATATGGATGATCTTAATCATGAAGTATCAAACTAAAATTTCTATTCGGATTCTCGAATTATTTTTATTTGTTAAATTTATTAAATTTATTATTTACTACGAAAAAACTTAAATAATACTTGAATGGTTTTTGTTATCTGAAAAACTATAGATGATTGGTTTGCTTCGTATAAAAATAAATTGAAGTTTTTGAAGATTTTTTCTTTTGATAATTGTTTACTTTGATATTACGATTTGCAAATATCGCTATAATGAGTGAATTACTATATTGGTTTATTTCAGTTGTTACAAATAGTCACCCTTCGGGACCAAAAAAAATTGGTGTGATTATAAAAATACTATATGGTGTGACTAAAGGTGTTTTTTTAATATGCTTATTGGTAACTTGGTAAGTGGTAACTTGGTAACTTGGGTCAATGCCGACTGTATATCATATCTTTTTTTAGTATATTTAATAATAATGATTTACTGTACCAATTTTGGTCAAGCGAATCCAAAACCTTGGTTGCACTTATCCTTATTTGTCCTTTGTTTATACAATTGATCGTATTTTAAATTAAAAACAATTTCGATAATTGAAAATAACGACTTTTTTCGTGAAAACACAACAATTACCATGGCAGAAGACCTTACCACGATTACATGGAGAAGTGTTGAATGGATTCAAAGTGTATTTATAATATTTGTTTAGCAGACAACGATAATTGAAAATATTAAAAGACTTTACCTCTTTATATGTGATAGAGACCCGAGGGTTTGAATTCAAATAATGTCTTGGATTATTTTGCTGAATCACCGTTTTGGGATAATCAATGTAATAATGCTATTTTAAAAATGCAAACACAATACAATGATCTTAAAGACCTAAATGTAGACTTAAGGTTGGCACAGATTACTTTTTAATAATTATATCGATATTTTTTCTTTATGATTGAATCAAATTCATTATATATAGAAAAATGAAAGGAATTGAATTTCAAATTGTACATGAAAAGGCACCAGTTTTATGGGTCATTAGAAAACAAAATAGATTATCCGAATGGTCAGGTATGGTTAATATTTTGTATCTAATTAAATTAATTAAATAAAATTAAAATTAACAAAATCATATACTTTATTTCTAGTTAGTCCTATAGCTACGTTTTATATTTTGAATAATAATATTTATCAAGCACCTGATTTATATTCAATCATAGGGACTCGTATAGTAGATATACATATATATCTTGTTTTTCTATTATTTTAGAATGTTGTATACAATTAATTAATAATTATTTGTTTTCGTAGTTGACAAGTTTATATTATTTACATATCGCTTTTAATACTGCTCTACAAGAAGTAGAATTTCATCCTGCAACAGGATACACATGGAAGGGTGCAAATGATCCTAATGCGTCACGAAGTATATCCTTTCTTCTATACCTTTTTCTACTTATCTTGTTAAGTGTCAATATAACTTAATTGCACAAAAAATCTTTTTTTTATAAGAATCTAAAGTTCAACAAGACCCAATAGAATTAATAGACTTTCGTAATGGTGCTGATAGAGCGTTCGGAAATGTTACTCGTAAAATGCAGCAACAGTTAGCCCAGGCTATTACTCAAACCGAAGAAGATAATTTATCGGCCATTAATGAATTAAATGATTCTTTAATGGCTGGAACACCTGGTGAAATGAGTGATGTACGTTAATGGGATTTTTTTTGGTTTAATTATTTTAGAACTAATCGAATTTTATTTTAATTTTTTAGCAGTCACCATCACAGCCGATGGCTACTGGTATTTGTTTTATAACGTCTGTTTTGAAAATTTTTGGTTGAAAAAAAAAATAATTTTAAAATATGATTTTTAGATCAAATGGGCAAAAGAAGGAAAAAGAGCGAAGATGCCACTGGAAAAAAGAAAAAGAAAAGTAAGTCATTATATATTTTCAATATTTTCAAAAAATATTTTTTTTTTTCGTTAATCTCTTTATCATCGATAGAACAAACCGGATAAAAGTAAATACTGTCTAAATTATGTAAATAGAGTTGTATTAAAAAATTAAGTTTTAATGAATGTGGATAAGGATCTTTTTTAACTAGATTATGTGCTTTATGATAAAAAATTAATTTTCGGTGTAGTTTGAAAAATATTATTATGTTTATTTTTTTTTTCTGTTATTATTATTTCTTTTCTCTCTCTCTCTCTCTTTTTTTTAATTTTAATACTATAGATATTAAAAGTATTCAAAGTTAATCGTGTATTGGATATTCAGATTTGCTATCTTTGACTTTCTTATCGATCATATATCTAAAAGGAATCCCGCCAATCTAAATTCAATTATGAAAAAACGAGTTAATAATATTATAAAATGTATAAAACAAAATAAAAATTTATTTTATTTTTACAAACCCAAGCGAAGGCACTAAGTAAACTATCAACAATGAAATTATTAGTCGGAGAGACTGCGCCTATAAGAATAATAAATGTTAATTATTAAAACTATCAATGAAAAATTTCTCGTTATATATTTATTTACCTTTGCTTGCAACTCTACATATATTACCTCCAAGATCCGAAGTAATATGGAAGTGTCCTTTGCAAAGGGCTTTATGAAAAGTAAATATTTTAAAACTTAAAAAAAACTGATTAAAAAAAAAAATTTCTTACATTTGTATAAAGCTTTAGCGGCTTGATCTGGCGATAACGCAACATCATCACCTTCAATTTCGCTGGTGATTTTTGGTTTTGTTTTGTTCTAAAGAAAATAAATATAAACATGATCTTCAAACAAAATAATAAATTGATAGTTTAATGAGATTTACTTCTTGTTGAAGACCAGGACTATCAATTGTTCCGGCGAAATAACAATGAACACTAATATCGTAAAGTAATAATTCATTGCGTAAAGTTTCGGCCAAACCTATTAATAAATAAAATTATAAATAAATCTGTAGAAATTAATTTTGTTATTTAAAGAATTCAAATTACCTCTTAAAGCATACTTCGTTGGGGCATATTGAGAAAATCCAATGAAACTCATTACTCCTAAAACAGAACTAACAAGAACTATTTTTCCCTTAATTCTTTGTCGCGTCATGCGTTTTACTCCTTCCTACGTGATAAACTAATATTAAAAAATGAATATAAAAAAGTACATTTTTTTTTTACTTACGTGAACAGTATATAAAGTTCCATGATAATTAAGTTGCATACCACTTTCGAACTCTGAAATATCCTGTTCGATAAATAATCCAGGTTTACAAGCTCCTTTGAAATGGATTATAATATTAGTGCATAAGAATAAAGTAAGACAGTTGGTCATAAATTAAATTACCGGCACAACAGAAAATGAAATCAGGCGCTCTTCCATTGTGCAAATCACAAGCTTCATTCAAGGCGCGAACCGAATCTTCGTAATTAGTAACATCCGCTGAAATTGCATTGAAAATCAAATTCTTATAATCTTCACGACCCTTTGCAGCCTTTTTAGATAGAAAGATGGTGGATTAAAAATAAAATAAATCGAATTTCATAATATTGTATAATTATCGGATCATACGTCTTTAATTTCTTCAAGAGCAATTTGTAGGTGGTCTTTATCGCGAGCGATTATAGTCACATGCGCGCCTTTTGAAGCTAATAACTTGGCGATAGCTTTACCAAGTCCCTTACTACCGCCAGTTACATAAGCATGCTAAAGTAAATTAGAAAATTAAGAATTAAATGAAAAATTACGAATAATCGGTATTATTTATTTTACCTTTCCTTGGGGTAAAAATTTGTTTCTTCCTAATATCTTATACCATATTGAATTACCCATTAAATAACTTATAGTTAATAAGAAAAGTATAAATAGGAAGACTAAAGGAAGTAATTTTTCTGATAGCACAGAGTCAGCTCTTAAGTGAAGTATGTCATCAACAAATGGCATTTTTTCGAATTCGCAAAGAAGAATACGCAGATTATTTATCTGTTCCGGAACGGATTTTCGGATCGGAAAACAATAAATGTGATTGGTTATCGTGTATTTGATCGCTTCAATCGATAATCTCTGAAAAAACGACTTTTAACCGATATTTTTGTTTCTCCTTAAATAAGCACACTCCATTTGAATTTGAGGATATAATGCACACCTTCTCTAAATGCAAGTTTTTGATTGTTATGTCAAGGAAAGAAGTAATGTAGACTGAAACCCAAGAGAACACGATTATTTTACCACTTTAGTAAATGAAAGGCAATAATAATTCGACTTCTACTTTGGTGACAACAACATAGGAGAATTCTATAGTTACGTATGCCTAACCCCATAATGGAATCGTCTTTGCCTATTATTTTAAAGGGAGATAAGCGTAACCTGTTCCCTTAGATAGGAGAAAATTGGAGGGGACTTCCGGGTTGTTTATAATAACTTTAGAGCTAAGGGAAAATATTTCTTTGAACATCACATGATAAAAATAATGATAAGATGATGATCTTGATTATCTTTTGTATATAATAATTCAGTTATAAAATCAGACTCATTTTCATTATTTTCATTTTTAAGTTACGATGTCTCAAGGTAGGACAAATTTCTTCTTCTAAAGTACATAATAGATAAAAGTTAATATGTTTATTAATTTAATAAAGCACAACAATATTCCGTTGGAATTCTTACAAGTATGTAATTTGTTATTTTATGCAATATTTTCAAACTTATTTATTTAAATTATTCAATTCGATAAATAAATTACTTTAAAAGTTAGTGATACAGCTTCAGCAGATTCAACAAAAGACCTTAGTGGTCCAACTCTAAAAACCGTATTTAAGCAAGCTTCAAAAGAAAAAATTACTTTTAATGTTATTAAGAGTGCAATTATTTCAGATGATTTTGAACAAATACAAAATATAGTTAAAACATGGAGTGATAATGAGAATCTTGATATCGTAGTAACAACTGGAGGTACAGGATTTGGAGTTAAAGATATTACACCCGAAGTTAGTGTATAAAATTTTGTATTCCTTCGAATAATTATATAAATATCTAAATTTATTTAATTTCCTTAAAATACCGTTCAGGCAATAGAACCTTTGTTACAAAAGAAATCTCCCGGAATTGCTTATGCAATGATAACTACTTCTTTACAGAAAACCCCTTTTGCAGCACTTAGTCGACTTGTTAGTGGTGTAAGAGGAAAAACTATTATCATTACAGTGCCGGGAAGTCCGAAAGGAGCAAAAGAAAATTTGGAAGCAGTAATAAATGTATTGCCTCATGCTGTTGATTTGGCGAAAGGTGGTACTGGAGAAAATGTTCATGCGCAATTGAATGCTCAAAAGACAAACAATAGTAAAGATGAAAGTGGACATCAATGTGTTCATAATACTAAACACGAACATCACCATAAACATGAACATGATACAACGCGTTCATTTTTGTCAGATCCTCTCTCCGGTCCTGGTAAATCTAGCTTGTCCTTTAACGTTATTTTCTTAATTTGTAATAATTAGCGGTATCATATGATTTATAGTTACCCAACGCCAACGTAAATCTCCTTATCCTATGATCACGGTTGATGAGGCGTTGAATATTATTGCCAACAATGCCGAGATTTTAGGTTCAATTACTGTTCCAGTCAATGAAAACTTGGTTGGAATGGTTTTAGCTGAAGATGTTTACGCGAAAGAACCTGTCCCAGGCTACCGTGCTTCAATTGTTGATGGGTATGCAGTTGTTGGTAAGGTTTCATCTTTCATTTCTTTCATTGTAAAATTACTTGATATTAGAGAGTACGTTTAATTCACATGTAATTATGGTTCAAATAGCAAGCGATGGTCCCGGAATTTATCCAGTAGTCGGTGTGTCAATTGCAAATGTTCAATCAGATGCTATGCAGCTCAAACCCGGACAAATCACTCGCATTACAACAGGTGGGCCTATACCTAATGGTGCCACAGCAGTAGTTATGGTCGAAGATACATCTCTCGTAAGTACTTCTGCTGATGGTCTTCAAGAAGAATCAGTGAAGATTCATGTTCAGGCACGTAATAATGAATGGATCAGGGAAATTGGATCAGATACTAGTGTTGGCACAGTTATTGTTCGTAAGGGTGAACTTGTAACTGCTGTTGGTGGTGAAATTGGAGTCTTGTCATCTGTAGGTGTGCGAGAAGTAAGTATCATAAAATAATGATCGGTAGCAAAAGTTATTATAAGGAATTAATTTTTATATTTAGGTTCGCGTTTATAAACGTCCTGTTATTGGAATACTTTCTACTGGAAATGAAGTAGTTAATCATAATGAACCAGAGTTAAAATATGGTCAAATACGAGATAGTAACCGGCCAACTTTACTGGCAATCGGCAAAATTACAGGATTTGAGGTCAAAGATTTTGGGATTGTGAGTGATAAGTAAGTATATGATATTAAATAAATTATAATTTCCTTTATAATATAACAGTAAAATTTTTTTGTTTGTTGTTTTAGCGTACAAGAATTGGAAAATGTATTAAAATTAGCTTTATCACAAGTTGATGTACTTGTTACTACAGGTGGTGTGTCTATGGGCGAATTTGATTTACTAAAACCTACTTTAGAGCGTTCTTTAGAAGCAACTATACACTTTGGAAGGTTAAAGATGAAACCGGGGTAAGAAAATATTTATCGTCTATTTATATTTTTTTTTCTATATTAAATGTTGAGTATAAAAATTTTATTATTAGGAAACCAACAACATTTGCGACTATTATATCAGATGAATATAAAAAATTAATTTTTAGTTTACCTGGAAATCCTGTTTCTGCTACTGTTACTTCATATTTATTTGTTTTACCAGCTCTTAGAAAAATTGCAGGTTATGATAATTGGAATTTACCTATTGTGCAAGCAGAGGTAATTTGTTTTATAATTTGATTGTTATTATTATTTTATTACAATACTATAAAATTGTTAACTTTTTATTTTTAGCTCTCAAATAATATTAGTCTTGATCCTAGACCCGAATATCATAGAGCTACCATTTCTTATGATTATACAAAAGGAAAGTTTTTGGCAGTATCCACAGGTAATCAAATAAGTAGTAGATTGCTTAGTATGTGCAGTTGTAATGCATTATTAAAACTTCCTGGAAAAACTGATCAATTAAAAGAACTCGTTAAAGGTACAATGGTAGATGCTATATTAATAGGACAATTAAATTAGTTTCATTAGTTCTTATCAAATGACTTGCTAGTAAACATACCTGAAATTTTTTAGTAAATAAGATTAAGTTATCTCGTTTAGTTATTTAATTTTAAGAAGATTTGTAAAGCTTTATATGTATAATATCATTTTAAAATTATCAACAAATATTAAATAGTTATTGGGTAAGGGAATGATCCTTTCATAGGAATTAATGTTTTATTAAAGAAATAATATTTTACGTATACATAAAATTTTCCCGATGATTATCTAATTACAAAAAGCAACTAATTATAGTTAGTATAAACAATAGAGTAACAAATACAGTATATTCAAATTGAAGTATTAGCATTAATTCTATATATTAGTATCAAATTATAAAATGAAATAATGAATTGTCTTAAATTAGGGTTTAATTTTCCAATAAACTATAATATAATATTAAAAATATTATTTTATATTTACTTTTAAAATTGCTAAATAAAAGAAACCATTTGAATTATAGATTTTATGGTGCTATTATTGCTAATAAAGCTAATCAATGAACCAAATTATTAGTTAAAATGGCATAATTCTAATTTAAAATTCAAATTAAATATGTTTTTAAAAATTTTCCAATATTTATAAAGCACTAGTATTTAAATAGATGATTGTGATTAACTAATATACACTTTTTTTTTAGGTAATTATAACTTTTTTAACATATTCAAAATATTTATAAAAAAAATATAAATATAAATACAAATTTTTACAAATAAATAATATAAATTTTAACAATTTAATATTTATGATGATAATTGTATATTAGATTTAGTAAATGGATGTGATAATAATGCTTTAGCAGTTGGTCTATTGTTATGATTCCTATTATATAGAAATAAAGGTTAATATAAATCAATGTAAAGAATTATTATTATAATTATACCTACAATTCAAAAGTTTTTTTCAAAAATTCTTTTGCTTCATTTGATATATCTTCAGGTATTTCAGGTGAACAAGATTGCCCAATCTTTAAAAATAGTTAAAAAATCAATAAATATTACATTTACATAATAAAATATTATATTAAACATACCCTAAACATGGCCTGCATTTGATTGAATTCAGGAAATGGATGTTCTCCTGTAAACATTTCTATAATTAAACATCCCAAACTCCATATATCTGCTTTGCTTGTATAAGATGTTTGTTTTACAACTTCTGGTGCCATCCAGAATACTGAACCTTGCAAAGAAGGCCTACTTACAGTTGCCATAATTTCTATTAGGTAAAAATAAATAATTAATTATAGAATAATTTGAAAACTTTGAAAACTAAGTTCATAAAATACTCACGGTCTTCAACTTTTTTTGAAATACCAAAATCTGATATTTTGATACCTCCCTTATTGTCAACTATTAGCACAAATCATACGGACAATAAAAATTACAAAATTATACACAATAAGCAAGAAATTTTAAATTTACAAAATATTTTATTACCTAAAATATTAGCACCTTTGATGTCACGATGGATGATATCTTGTTCATGAAGATAATTTAATCCTTGTAAAATTTGTCTGTTAAATGATCTAACTAATGTTTCTTCTAATGGACCATAATTATTAAGCATAGTTGCTACTGAACCACCGGGAACATATTCCAGGAAAATATTTAAAGTTTTTTCATCATGTTGAAATCCTATAAATAAATAATATATAAAGAACTATAATATAATTTTTTTTAAGAAAAAAAAACAAAGAAAAAAAAATTTTACCAAGGTATTGAACAATATTTTCATGATGTAAATCTTTCAAAAGTGCAATTTCTCTTTGTAAAGCATCTAACTAATTATAATTATTAAATTGGTGAAATTGATTTTTACTCAAATATAAATATATAATCGCGTGAACGCAGTTGAAAATAGTTGCGGAATATCCAATCATAGAATAAATGAACCTACCATAGATTTCTTTCTTTCCTCATTTGCGGATTGTCCTGTAGGTAACTCAACTTGCTTAACTGCCATTAATTCTCCGGTAATGGAATTAAGCCCTAAATACACACTACCAAAAGAGCCCATTCCAATCAAAGCACCTTGCATCCATTTCAAAACTTGATTCTCTCCAACTATATAATAAAATTATTTCCAATATTAAATAAATATGTATAAATATGAATAATTTATGAAATTTTCATCCAACCCACATCCATTATGTATAAGTGCCCATTCTTCTTCTTCAATTTCATCACTTTCACTAAAACCGTCAAAATCTTCGTTTTGCTCTTCTTCTGTAATTATTGTTTCCGAATTATCCATAGGGAATAAAAGAGAATCAGATCTGTCATCATAATATAAAGAAGACATTTTTGATTTGCGAGATAATTTAGAAGCAGATGAAAGTCTTGAAGCTCTTCTGACAGAATTTCTACAGCTACGTTCTAATTCTTCACTATTATGCCCAGGAAAATATTCCGTAAGATTTAATGAAATCAATTCTGAAGGTGGACGTTGACCAAAAAAATTTCTTAATTTTTTTTGAGATATTCCAACTTGAGGTGTTGTTGGAGGTTTTTCTCCAAAGAAATTTGCTAATTTTTTGTGTCTCTTTTGGGTTTTTAATTGTTCCAAACTCATTTGAACATGCTTCTTGCGTAAGATAAGTCTTTCCCTTTCCGGTCTATCTGAACTTTTACAAATCTTTACTAATTCATCATCGGATAAACTTCGAGCTATGTTATCGAAAATAAAAGAATATTAATAAATATATATATGTGTATAAAATATATAAATAATTTACCATCACTTAGAGTTGTAAACAACGAATATTTTTCAACATCCTCGTTTATATTAAACTTTTGCAACACTCGTGCTAAAATAGATTTAGCATCAGTTACATTGTTCATAGGGATTGTTCTCGTTGCACCATCTTCACCAATAACTTTGATGGCACGCTAATAAATGTGAAAAAGAATTGTCAGATTAAATATTAAAATTTTTTTTTAAAAAAAAGATTAGATAAAATAAAATACTTGCCTGTTTAACACTGTCTGATATTTCTGATTGTTGCTAAAATTAAGTTTATATTTAATTAATTAGAATTTTAAATGTAAAAGTTAACAAAAGTATATATTTACTTTAGAGTTTTGTGAAGTTCGTGAAGAATAATCATTATTGTTGTTATTATTATTACGCGAAGACGAAGTAGAATTAGATCGAGATATGGTGCTTGCTTTTGAATTAGATCTGCTAAGCGATGGAAATCTATCAGAATCAGGTGAACCCAGGTCCTAAAAAAATTTTATATAGTTAATATAAAGAAAGAAAAAAATTGATAATTATAAATAATAAATACCTTTGGTATATAATATTTAATGGGATTAGCGTAAGGAACGGTATTTCCTGCGCAACACTTTAGCAAAGCTTTAACTGCCAAAAGGATTCTTACGCGTTCGCCGATTGATCTGATCTTCAATTCTTTTAGGATGTCGTGATCCAATTCTAATAATACATCACCATTTATATCATTATCTATATAATAGGATATAAATAAAAGATAAAAAATTAAATTGAAAACTCATGAATTTATAACAGAAAAAAAAATTTTCTTTTTACCTGAAAATACTTTTTGATATTCTCGAAAATTATTTTCTTGTAACCAACAAGCTACTTGGTCATACTTCCAATTTCTTACACTTTCAAAGGTAAGTCTACAATCAACTATAGGAGAAGGAGGAGTAGAATCCATGAATAAGCTAATATTGGTCAATTATTGAAAAAATTTAAGAAAGAGAAATAAGAGAAATTACAGTAAGCAAATATCGGGTTTTCGCGATTTAAATATTAGGCGTTTATTAGATGTAGTGTAACCATAGATTCTGCATTTCTTTAAAAATATTTTGATGTTTGATGTTAAACAATGGGTTTATTTTAGACAGATTTACTATACAATTCGGTAACAAATAAATTTTCTAAATTTTCTCAGAGTTCAACTAAATTTGAAAACATTCATGAATTAATACCCTTTTAATAACATTTTTGGGGATCAAATTCACGAAAATAATTAAAAATTGATCGGCTAAAAACTAATAGGTCTTACTTATTGCTTTTGGAAAATTCTGGCAAAGCGAAGAATTTTAAGTGAGATGCAAAGTATACAGAGTATACAGTATACTGCCAATTCATATGATAAGGATTTTAGTGAGTGATAAAAATAAATCGGACAATGGTTCTATTATTACGTTCTATCAAACTTAAATGTTCCTTTCACTTTACTGGCGCAGTATTTTATTCTTGGCTTATAATTTGCAATGGTCCAATATTTTTTAGTCTTAAAATTTTTTACAAAAATATTATAATAATATTATGTAAAATTTATTTTCTTTACCAAAATAACAATGTAACAACCTGCATCAAATATAAAAATATCATTGTTTATTTATAATATCTGGTTTTTCTTGTTTTGTGGATCCGTTAATCAGGAGAGGTTTTTCCTTAACTTTATTTATTGTAGGTGCATAATTGCTCTGTTTGTTAAAAGAATCGTAAGTTCTGGTAAAACATTATACAAAAGATATATAAGATAACAAATTCTTACAAATAAGATCAGATTCCCGTTTTTTTTTAAAACAAATTTTGTTCATCAAATACTTTTTTTTTCTTTACAAAAAAGTAAAATTTAACAGATAAATAGCAAAAAAATGTCAAGTACTAGTCAGGGTAATTCAATTTAATAGCAAAAATATGTCAATAATAATTTATTTCAATTTTTTTTTTTTTCGTTTTTTTTTTCATATTTTTTCTTCGTTTTTTTTTAGCGCGTGTGATTGAACCACATAGCAATGCCGTTCTTCATGTTGGAGAAAAACATATTATTCAATGGGTATGCATTACATAGATTTTACAAAGTATGAAAGTAACATTAATGGTTATGATACCCTTTTTTTATACATTTTTATAAAGGATACATCGTCCAATCCAACTATAACTGATATCATATCAGCCAATCTCTATAAAGGTTTCGGTTCCGATATTAAACTTATAAAAACAATTCCAATCAATCGTGAAGCTTCAGCAGGATGTTCTGAGCCTTTTATTGTGCCAGATACTGCAAGAGGTTATGATTATTTTTTTAACTTGATTGGAGGAAATGGTGAAGTTGTTTCTAGTTATTATTTTAATATTACTGTAAATTAAATTAATATATAAAAATCTTAGCAATATATCACGTGAATTTTTTAATGCAATAATTTATAAATATCGGAATTTCTATAATTATTAAATTTTTTGATGCGGCTGAGAAAAATTTGTTACACAATATTATACTCTAAATTGCAAATGTTCTTTCGATACAGAAAAAAAAGATTTTAACCCACGCCATAAATTAACCTTTAAAACTGTATTAATTAGTCTGGTCATCTGTTATAAAATTCCGGGTTATCGCATCGTAATACATCTCCAGTGCGTAACTCGGTTACACGATCACAATTGGTAACTCCTGCATAACCATTTATGGAACGCGAATCAAATTTTTTTGTGAACCTTTTTTTTTTTGACAGTTGCATTCTTTGATATGTTTATAAAGTTATTTTCCGCACACAAATTTTATCTTTATTGATTTTTCAAATTATAATTATGAGTGAACGTTCTGTAAACGATAATTCGTGTCAAGAAAGTTTGGATCCTTCTGTAAACGGAAATAATGGGTTCAAATTTTCATTACCGTTAACTACAACAAATTTACGTTTTGAATCGCAAGATGACCTTGGAAAACTTTTTGCTTTACAGGGAAACGGTCTAACTTATGAAAATGCTACTTCATCTCCTTTAGTAGCTGAGCAAGTTGAACAACAACCCCCTTTCTTCCGTAAAATAGCTCGTCCGATACCTCCTTCGCTGAATACAAATATTACTCATTTGTTAATGCAATCAAATAACCACAACAGCAGCAGCAATAATAATAATTTTGCTTCTTCACCCAGTCAAGCTGATAGTCCTGAAGATACATCAGGTCATCGAAGAAGAGATAGCAACGTTTCAGCAATGTCTATACAATTGTATGATGTTGTTGGATCTGGTCATCAAAGACGAGATAGTAATGTATCAAATATGTCAATGCAATTAGATACTCCTACACCTTCTAGTGGGACAGAGTCTGGTAATGAGGATGAAAATAAGTTAGCATTTTATCCTTTTACATTTTCCCAAAAATCTCTATCAACGTCAAGACCTGGAACTCCTACAACACCACCACCTTGTACACCAAATTTTTTTTCCACGTCTACAGCAAGATCATTAATGTCTCATCATCCTCAACGTATGAGAAGGATGAGTTTGGATGTGGATAGTAATGGTGAACCAAGAATTGAAAAACCCTCACCAATCCATCGTGCTGTCAGGGCAAGGAGGGCTTCTCTTTTGGTATATATATATATTTATTTTTTGAAAAATAAATCTTGATTATTAATCCTTTTACAAACAATTATAGCCAAAAACAAAATCATTTCAACGAGTTGTCAATGAACTTCAAGAAGAATTACAACCAATTGAAACGGAAATTAAGCAAGAATATAAAACTACCAAGGTTCTTAAGAATGAATGTGAAAATCATATGGATACTGGGAAATTACCTGAGGTAAATGATAATTTTTAATTTTAATTAATTAATTATTCATTTTTTTTAATGTAGGTCATTAATTTTTAATCGAAATGACCGAAATGTAGGAATTTTTAAATAATTGGATCAAATTTCGAGATATTCAACCATCACCACCTCCTTATGCTGCTTCAAAACTAAATCCTGAAGTTGACATGTCGGTAAGTAATCTGACAATATAATATCCATTTATTACAATAATTAAACTCTTTATTGACATAGTTAATTTTATAATTAATATCTATAGTTTCGGCAAGATACTCCTTCACCGACGTCTTCTGTTGGGCCTTGGCCTATAAGTGGTAGAATAAAGCGAAAAGGTATATTCATGTAATTTATTGTCCATTTATTTTACTTTACAACGAAGCTGACACCTATTTTCTATAAAGCATCAGATGATCGTTTTGAGCCTTATTTCAATCCGAAAAGACGGGCTGTTTCACCGAGTTTGGTCGGTAGCCCTGTTCCATCTCCTCCAACTGTCGCTAGTTCACCATCGTTTTCAGGATCAGCTGCATCGTCTAGTGGAAACAGAGGACAAATTAAGGGGAATAGTAATTTGGTGAATATGCAAGACGCAAATGGAAGTTTTAGTAGGATGAATTTGAATGGAGAATAATGAAATATGAGGAGAGAGAATGATTTTGCGTATAATAGTTAGATTAATCAACTTAATCATTACATTAGAAGTAATTTCGAACATTTTAAAAATTAATTTTTCTTTTTTTTTTAACAAAAAAAAGGGTATACAAAACTGTAAATATTTTCATAATAACTATATCTCTTTTTGTATGCCCTTACACTTACCTTACTTCGTTGTATATAGTTTTTTCTCTTTAAAACCCATATTTTTGAGCAAAAATCATATTACAATCATGGACATTTATTTAATAAAATTAATTTTCGGTTTAAATTTTAAATTTTTACGAATTCTGCTGTAATAATAATAAATTAAATGCTTGAATTAGGGCAATTTCCAAAGTTGGTCCTCGACTCCTCGTTTTGTGAAATAAATAAAAATTTGGGGGAACGAACAATATTATGTAAACGATAAGATTATAGATAGCTCAAATCCTAAGATGAAATAGAGTCGATTGTTAATTTTGTAAGATGTTTATCTGAAAGTGGCTTCTTAACGATCATTTGATAAGGGAGTTTGGTACAACAAACAAAATACTGGGCTTACGTGTAACGATAAATTATAAATACTCGGCAATTATCTTTTTTTTTTTGAAAAGTTTAAATTATTTCGTGTCTCCCTTTTACGATTTTCATTCTTTTTTGATTTTTGTTCCAATTTCCTAGCGTTGTGTGAATTATATAATGTTACTTAAGCAAGTTTGTCCTGGAAAGTCTAATGGACTTGTCCAAAGCTTTCATACGGCATACTGGGAGAATTCTCGTTACCTTGTAAGTTGATTAGTACCCTTTTCCAAATTTTCGATAAACGGCTATATCCTTTTTTTAACAGAACGTTTACGTTTTTAACGCTTGTTAAACTTTAACTCAACCCTGTTCTAAAGATATATGGTACAGGGAATAAACTTGTAATTTATAGTGGACTTTCGGAATTGGTTCAAACAATAAATGCCTCCGAATTTTTAGAGGAGGAATCGAATAAAGAAATAATTTTTTCCGCAGAGTTATCAGAATTTGATGGAAAGGTTAGAAAGAAAGATTATTTTATATTCAAATTGTCTATTGATTTAATTGTAAAGTCTGCCACAAATATTTCTTTTTAGATTATAGGTTCGAATTGTTCATGTAGAATTTGACAGTTTTATATTTAGAAACGACCAAATGTTTATTGATTTAGTGAATTAAATATAGATCATTAATAAAAAATTTATATTTTTAATTGAATAGATTGCTATAACAATTGGAACAAATGTGCTTATATTTAAACCAGATCAAGATGATAAAACCATGGTAATACTATTATACCACAAAAAAATTTTTAAAAAAAATCTCAAATTTATGATTTGTTTTGTCTTATGAAAAATTCTAATTATTTCCTCATTTGTATATATATTAGAAAATTCGATGGTCTTTATTGAAAATACTGAAACATGATTATTCTGTGTTTTGCACTTCATGGAGTTTAATTAATGGTAATCACAGAGTTTTTAAAGACTAATACATAGATAATTTTTTTTAAAATTTATGTATTAATTAATTTAAAGGTCAACTCTTGGTGGGTGGAGAAGCTATTGTTCATTGGGAACAAAATAAGTCTAATGAAGAGAATCGTAGTAAATGGAACAAATTATGGGAACAAAGGTTAGCTTACACTTTAATAGTATCGTAATACAAATTATTTCCTTATCATTTAGTAAATTATTTTCATAATTGTCATAGCGTTGCTTCTAAAATAATTCATATTGAAGTATCACAAGATTCTACATTAATTGCTACTGTTGGAGAGGTATTTCTGCTTTCATATTAATTAAATATTTTTGATTTTATAATAATGCATATAAAAAATCTATTTATGCAAAGTATGATAGATTTGTGAAAATTTGGTGTTGTCAAAAAAATGATGGCAAGGAACGAAAATATAAATTTCATTATTTGCCACATCCAAGATCAGTAACCAACTTTTCATGGCGGAAAGGTCCACATGAACAAATAAAGTAAAGAAAGAAATAATGATTTTATTCGATTATTAAGTTTTAATTAAGAAAAAATGAGATAACATCCTTATTTATTTATTTATTTATTTATTTATTGATTTTTATTATATATATAATATATATATATATAAATATATTTTAGTTCACAAGGGAGCAATATTCTCTTAACAGTTTGCAAGGATGGATTATGTAGAATATGGGCTGCAACAAACCCTGATGAACCTCATAATCTTTATATATGTACAGTTGTCGACCCCGAACAATCATTGGTTACACTTCCTTCCTTAGAAGAAGAGAGAATCTGTCATAAACATTTTGATTGTTTTTCGCCCATTCATTGGATACATCCAAGAGAATTTTTGATATCTGTAAAATTAGCTATAGATTCCTTTGAAAATGAAAACAATGAAACAGAACGGTCCTGTATAAATGATGGATTAAAGAAGTTAAAAACCCTCGCAAAAGATACACCTGATTTGTTTTATCAGGTTCAACAAGATGGTTCTATCGTTATTTGGGGAATAAGGGTAACTATTCTAAGACAATTGGTTTTTTTTTTCTAAAAAAAAAAAAAAAAAAATTGTTTTGACACTAAATTACTATAATTAGAATATTTATTGTAGGCCCAGACGGATTCCAAAAGTTCTCGTCTTATTTCGTGCATCTCAGGTGCTTTCACCATCAGAATCGGATTATTTTCATGGAAGTACATTTGTGTTTCATGATAATACAAGTCCGGATTTTAAGAGCAGTAATTATTATTATTAATTTGGAATAAATGTTTTATCAAATTACTTTTAAATGGAAAATTAATGATTTTTATCATATAATAAGCTTCGGTGGAACTTACAATATTGGCTCAAAGTCCGCAAGGTTATATTAGCAGATATTCAATTCGTCTCGTTGATATGTTCGAAAATTTGCAATCAATTCCGTTAGAATTAAAATATTTATGGACTGGACATCATAATGATATAAAAGCTATCATTAAATCTTCTGGAACTGACAGCTTCGTTTCACTTGCTAGTGATGAAGGAGCAATCCTGTGGGATTTTACGAAGCCTGAGATATCACAGGTATTTTTCTATTATATTGATAAATATATTCTTTAGTTATATGTTTTTATATATATTTTTTAATACAATTGTTTCGTTTAGCTTGTTAATCAAGTTAGCCCAAAAATTATTGAAAAAACTACTGTTCCGATGAAACAAATTAAGCTTGTATGTGTGCTTCCAGAAGGTAGACTTTTTTATCATCATTTCATAACAACAAAAAAAAAAAAAAAAATTGAAAAATACATAATTGTTATTCTATCGTGATCATTTTTTAGGAAAATGTGTTGTTGCACATGACGGAATTCAAATTGTCCTTTTCATATTCGACGATAGAAATGATTTTACTCAAAAGATTGTTTTTAATGATTATGATGCTTCTTATGAACTGCTCTTGTTATCTTCTTATAAACATAAAACTTCCTCGTCTACTCCTACTTATATTGTTGGAGTAAGCTCTCATAAGAATACAATTTTTTGTTGGAAATTTTTTTTTGACAAAGGTATGATTTTATGTTTTAATTTATTAATATATAATTTATTTGTTTTTAATTATAATTTTTTTTTTAAAAAAAAAAATTACAATACAGGTTCAAAAGTTGACTTGGTTTCGAAGGCTTCTCTTCCTATTAACAGTCAGATTAAACTGGCTGTATCTGTTGAACAGTGGGCGGGGTCTAATAAAAGATGTTATCCATCAAGTGACTTATCTCCTCCTATATTATTGACATATTCTGATGATGGATGTATCATGTATTGGCAATTAAATATGAAATATGATAGCAATAACCTTGATGCTAATAAAGAATTATGGATGAAAGAAGTTGTTTATGACATCGGAACCAAAGAGCCAATGTTAATCAAATGTGGTCCACAGGGGAGAGCTGCAATTGGTATGAAAATGATTTTATATTTCACATTTTAATTTAAAATTTGTTAAATTTTATTTTATTTAGTTATGAAAAAAGGAAATAATTATGAAATGACGATATGGGAATGCATAACTAAAAGATTGCCATCTGCAAAAGATTTTATAGAAGAATTTAGGTTCTATATTTCATTATAACTATTATTTCTTTCTGATAAGAATTCTTATTTATTCGTACTTTCCTTCCGTTATTTAGTGAAAAAATTGTTGATATAGGTTGGCTTTTCACTTCTAATGCTGAGATTGTATTAGCTATATCAACGTCGCGAAAAATTTGTATTTATACTCAACTTCGTAAACACCATGTTTCCGGACGAAGTTCTTGGATTATGTTTTCAGAAATTGAGAAGTATGTTCTTTTAAAATTGCGACAATTTTTGAATTTCAATCAAATATTAACATTTTGTGCTTCTTAGCAATTCTGCATTACCAATTTCTGCTATATCTTGGGAAAATTTGGGTTCACTTATTGTAGCTAATTGTAATCAATTACGTTGTTATGACAAGTGGTTAACAGAAGAAAATATGGAAAAAGGTGATTCAAGTTTTTTCTGATTATTTCTTTTTAATATAACACTATTTATATCTAAAATCAAATAATCCAATAGTTTCTAGTATAACTGGGGTTAATCAAAAAAAGTATCCTACATTGTTTCATGTTGTTGACCATTTGAATGGTCCATTACCACATTATCATCCAACGTTTCTTTTAGAATACATTATGTGGGGTAGGTTAATTTACTTATAGATTATATTTTGTTTATATTTTGTTTAATTCTAATGTTGTTAATTCTGAATTAATTTCCGATAGATCAAATGGATTTGGTGAAGCAGATTTTTGCCCACCTTTATAAATTTCTTATAATTTTGGATAGAACAAATAAACCTATTGAACGAATTCTTCCCTTACCATTTGACAAATTTTTCCAGGATAACATGGTTCGTAATTATAAAATTTCTTTTTTATCAACAAAAAAAAAATCAAAATCCTGCTAACTTAATTTTCCTTATTATTCAAGTCAACAGCATCAACGAAAACTACTCGCTATAATGTTCTTTTTGGAGAAGACAGTGATGAAGAAGGGTGCATATAACATTAATTAAAGAAATAAAATATATTCCGTAAATTAAAAGTAATATTAATATATATATATATATATTTATTTATTTATTTTTTTTTAAAAAGATCTCAAGAAAATTTACTTGAATTTACTGAAAAAGAAGCTAATTTTTTGATTGAAAAATTACAAGTCATTTCATTACCTGACTTATCACCCGTTGAACAAGCGCAATTATTAGCTTTAGTTAATACCATAAATCAGGTAAGAATATTATTTCAAATGTTATTCTAAGGTCTGAAGCTGAATACTACTTCATCAAATTCGTAAATATTCAGGTAGAAAATCAAAAACGAAGTTTGGACGAAAATGGTGTTCGATACGTAATATTTATGCGACGGTATCATTATTTAAATAAAATATCCTTTGGTATACGGTCGCCTGGTTTAAATTATCGAGATATGAACTGGGCATTGCATAGTAATTCTCAGGTGAGAAAACTTCTATATATTTTGTTGCGACCTTAAAACATATTACGTATTCATTAACTATGTCAATTTAGGATCTTTTAATAGAATACAGCATCCAAGCATCTGGTGGAAAATTTTTATGGAAAGATGCAAGAATACATGGTATCTTTTTATGGCTTCGAAGTAATGAATCAGTTGTAAGTTCATTTGTAACATTAAAGCTTTTTTTTCCGTTAAATCTATATTAATTAACGATTGATTCTAGCGACAACAAATGGAAAACGTGGCTCGTAATCATTATATGTTGAAAGAAGAGAGAGATCCAACAGATTGCTCTCTTTTCTATATGGCATTACGGAAAAAGAAATTATTGTTAGGTTTATGGAAAACCGCCAATACTCATAGAGAGCAAGCGATCATGTTGAAATTTCTTATAAATGATTTTACCGAACCCAGATGGAAAACAGCAGCTTTAAAAAACGCTTATGCTCTGTTGGGCAAACAACGTTATGGTATTGTTTTCAAGCATTTTTATATAGAAGAGTTTGCAAGTAATCTAATAATATACAATTTGATAGGATATGCGGCTGCTTTCTTTCTTCTTGGTGATCAGTTAAAAGATGCTGTTAATGTATGCTTAAAACATTTGGATGACTTTCAATTAGCTATTGCTATTACTAGAGTTTATGAGGGTAATCCTTTATATGTATATATATATATATATGTTTCTTATTATTAAATACTAAATTATAATTTTGAATTTACAGGTGAGGATGGTCCTATTTTGAAGAGCATATATGAAGATTATATTATTCCTCTAGCCATTAGAACAGGGGATCGATGGTTAGCCAGTTTGGCTTTTTGGTCATTGAATCAAAGAGATAAAGCTGTGAAAGCTATTATGGTTTGAATTTCTTTTTTAACTTATTTCATATAAATTGATAATTGATTATTCAATATTAATAAAAAAGAAATTTTAAAGGTACCTTTGGAAACTCTGTGCGACAAGAAAGTAGAAACAACACCCTTAACCACTGATTCTCCTGATGCAGCTTTGGTAGTTTTATACAAACAATTAAAAGATAAATCCATTCAAACACTGAGAGGGGCAGCAGAAATTTCATCAAAAACGGAATATTTCTTCGTGTTAAGAAGTATTTTTGCTTATGATCGTATGGGATGTCCACTGTTAGCTCTTCATCTCGTAAGAACATGGACTTTTTCACAACAATCAGATCCAAAAAGGCCTGATCATATTTTAAAATCTAGACGCAGAACAACTATTTTTGACATACCAATGGCAGATAGTGATGGTGATGATGTTATTTCGAAAGGTGTTGTTAATTTTGATACATGGGATTGGAATGAACCAATTTCACCAGTTTCTTCAAAATTTAGTAAACATATAACAGATAAATCCGATGACCTTTTTACAGAAGAGCCAAGTCCCTTAGTTAGTCCTGTTACGCCTAGAAGAATATCGTTTAATGATAATTCATTTAAAGATTCAACAAATGAAGAAGATATATGGGGATGGAATACTCCCGGACATTATCAAAAATTAAACTCGTATAATTCAAAAAATACTGATATTTTTGCTAACAATAATGAAGAAACTCTTGGTAAAGGTGATATCGAAAATGATGCAGGAAATAATGCTACATTACTATATGATGTAGATTTTTATGATTATAAAGTTTCTTTGGTTAAAAGATTATGTCAAGTTAGTACATATATATTTTTTTGCCAAAAAAAGAGCGAAGAACGAGAGTAAAATTTGTACTAACTATTTTTTTATTTATTCCAGCAATTATTGGATGTAGCAATGGCTGTTCAAGAAAATCCAGAATTATTTGAGCATTCTTATTATATTGATTATATTAATAGGGCCGAACAAGGATTAATAACCATATGTGAAAATGTTAAAGTTCCAATATCAGATATAAAAGAATCACTATTATTATATCCTTTATAAAAATATTAGTATGTTTATTATATAATCTGCAATATTTATCTTTAACTCCTTTTTTTTTTGATTTGTACTAGGTGTATTGAAACGGATTCGTACAATCTTCTAAAATATTTAAAATATTTCCAACCTCTTGATTCGACAAACGACGGTAATTAAATTCTTGGTGAACATAATTCATTGTAAATTTTACATAATAGAATTATATATGTATTTATTAAAAAGTTAAATAATATCTATTAAGAATTAATGAAATAACATTATTATGGTAATTTCCTGCACTATAACTTTCTTGATCAGATAAGAGTTTCATCCATTGATGCCTGTTTGTGTTAAACAAGTATCATTATAATATAAACTTGCACAATTTCATGCTACTTTTGTTTTTAACTATGCTTTATTATGATCATAATTACATAATTATCATAATTCATAAAGGAATCATTAACTTAAATATAATGATTGATTCGATGGTCATTATATCTATTTTTTATCCAATTATAATGAAAAATTTTACATTGAATTTATATATGGAATAGATATTTTTATTACCAAGAATAGAATATTTATAATTAGTTTTATTCGAAATAATAATTGAACAATTCTCCTAAATTTACATATCGTAATGCATTCCGGTCTAAATGTCTGTCGACCAAACTTTTCAATCTACCGATTTCTTCTATATTTTTAGAACCTTAATAAAAGAAATTAATTAGTGCTCTTAAGTTTTTTAATATAGTGATGATCAATTCTATGTAGTCAATAATCCATACCAAATTCCGCCCTTTTTTGTACTTTACTTATATCAAATAATTGAGATAAATAGAGTAATTGGAGATATAGTTTTTGTTCGTCATACTTAAACATTTTGGGGAAGTAGATTAAATATTTTAGAATATTAATCTAACCATACAAATCATTAAAACATTATAATATTATATATACCTCGCCCTTCATTTTTCCATTGCATCCTCGATTAATACAATTTTTAGAGTAAGTGACTTGTCTAGTTCGATATAAACAACTTAGTTCATCGCATACTTTCCAACCATCATAATATTGTTTAATATAGGAACGAACTTTGAAAGTAAGTTGTGTCAAAATCGAAGAAAATGGAATAATGGTGTTACACCCATTACATTTAATTAACCCTTCAGAGTCCTATAATATCGATCATTAATATAGTTTACAAGTTTTATACGAAAACAGTAATTACTAACCTTTAACCCTTCAAAGATATTTGTTACGTTACAATGAATACATATTGGCATAAATTTTTCAACATCCTTAAATCGCTCTCCATCCGGCATTTTCGAACCAATTTTATGTGATGTCGCCAGATTCGATGAACTTTTGAATTTTGATGGATCAAATCCTTATATTACATTATTTTTTTAACACAAGTAATTATCAAGTTACTGAGTATAATTGCTATAAAATAGTAAAAATAAAATCTGGATACCTAAACACTCAGCGATGGATGCATTATCAATCCCTTCAATATGTCCGCATAATCTAGAAACCGAAGCATGGATTTGGATTTTTAAATACCAATCATAATCTTAATAAATAATAAATCATAAAATTATTTATATCATCTGACAAAATAACAAAAATAAAAACAAATAACATGGATATTATAAATTTACCGATTCGCAAATCGGACTCATTTATCTCGTCAGGATGAAATGCTCGATCGGAAATATTTTTATCGAACTCTTTACCATCAGCTGTTAGACAGATAACATATGGAATAAAATCTCCCGTACGGGCACTTAACCCTTTCTTTTTCATTCTCAATGCAACTTGCACATGAGGTTGGATTTTTGCATCAGTATAAGCTTCCGGTGATTTTGCGAGATTCTATTAATATTAAAAAAAAAAATTAACGAAGTATCCAAGTGGTGAAAACAATTTTTGATTAGACCATACTTTATTAATTATAAAGGAATTAATAGGGTAATTTCCGGAACGCGTATCTTCTCCCACTTGCCTCAAGTAAGCATGGATTGTGTTAACTATTACTTCTCGATCATGAGATGATAAAATTTGATCCAAAACAAATCTTAAAACAAGTTAGAAATTATTTAATACAAATAATGATAAAGATTATAAGTGTTTGTACCTTGATACTTTATTCACTAAATCACACCAATCTCTTCTCACAAGGTCGAGTCCTTTTGTTTCACAAGAACGTTCTAAGATGCCGTTTTTTTTCTCAACAACAATAGCCGCATATTTTTTTTTCTTTAGCAAAAGTAGTTTCTCAAAAAAACCGTCAATTTCAAGCTCGAGCAATTTGTATCGTTCATTGACTTTCTTTTTTAAGATGTTACCAACTTCAAGCGCTTGATTTATGTCTATTGCTTTAGTGTTAATCATAATAGAATCTGTATCTCCATAAATTACCTTAAATAAAGCATAAAAATCAATGTGAATCGTTCGCTTGTTTGCTTATTAAATCAAATTATTAAATAACATACCTCCATCTTCTCGTTCTCCGCTAATTTAACAGTGTTTTCCAGAATTTCACGACCTTTGAAAGTGATCAACATAGCTAACGGCTTGGCATAAAACCTGGAGTAAGTATAACCCAAACAACCATACATACTATTCGCCGTAAGTTTAAGAGCCTTTTGACGAATATCATACTATTATTATACAAGAAAATATGATTTATATAATTAACGTTAATGCAACTATTACTGCATGTCGAGACAATAATTATTCAACATACTTCGGCAAGTTTGTCTGAGGTAACTATTGAACTCTTCATCAAATTCTTTACCATTCTTCTTCGCTCAACTAATTTAGCAATCAATTTAGGTAGGATACCCTGTGGTAAACTTGAATCAGGTATTTCGGGAGTAATGTTCTTTTCCTTCGATTATAATATAAGTAAGTCACTATATCCACCCTGAATGTCAATAATATAGATATACTACGAACTCACCATCCCAACTCTGACTACTGTAGTAAAGCAAATATTGTATTCTTGAATAATTGATGGATACAAGCTGTTAAAATCCAAAAGTACAACATAATTATCATAAAATCCTTTTTTGGGCTCTAGCACGAGGCCTCCGGCATAAGTAGGTTTTCTTCGCCCACTTGCTTTAGTTTCTGTTGATTCATCTTTATAATAAATACGTAAATACAGTTACTATATTTAATATAAATATATAAATATTATAATAAAAATTTTGGAAGTGAATGCTTACCTTCTCCATCTACACTAATTTGTTCCTGAATTTTCTTATATTCTTTGTCTGGACATATGTATTTGTGTTGATGAAACTCATGTAACAGAAGAAATTCATTACGATCCGCTCTACTTCCAATAAGAGTTTTTGACCTATTATAAACACGTAATGATTTGTTCGGTTATTATTTCCTTTATATTAGAGAATAAAAAGAATTCATCTCATTTATATACCATATATTGCCAGCTAAGTTTGTTAATTGTTTAGTAAGAGGCAATATCTGAAGTTTGAACATAAGTTCTGCCGTAAAAATAGCATCATTCCAACAATGGCAAACTACATCTAATAAATCTTTGGCTCGACTATAATACATCGGAATTTTATCATATTCGATATCTTTACGAAGCTTGCCTAATTGTGATAAGACAAGTTCTGTTAACGAATAATTCTTGGATTTGACTAGGTCCTACATATTGATGTTTCATATTTTTGTAAATATATATATATTAAAATATGTTTAAGTGACAACATTCTTATCCTTACCTTCGCGTTTAGGTAGGTATCGCAAATCAATCGACCATTTACAATTGACTTTTCCACGAAGGATGACTCATTCGCAGTAGACCCACTTTGTGATTTTGGCCATCTATAAATAATATTACATTAAATTAATTTCTTTTAGGATGTTCAAGGTTTTCTTAATAAAGAACTCTACTTACACAACTCTTCGTAACCTTCCAAGACAGGACCAATCCTTAATCTTTAATTCTTTTAAACGATGTAACAAGACGTCAAGATCAAATCCGATGAAATTGTGTCCGATAAAAACATCAGGATCATACTGCTTGATGAGTGCTATTAAATTCCGAAAAATTATATATAAATGCAAGGAATAAAATCATTATCATATAAAAGTAAAGTTACTAACCTAATAGATAGTTGATTAACGAATATTCATTCGCTTCCAAATTTAGATGAAGTCCTTTTTTTCTTTCTTTCTCTACAAGTTCTTCAAATCCATGAGTCCACCATGGTTTATCATTCAGTTGGCGAATTGCAGAATATTGTACAGGATATTGTAATTTTTCCGGTGTAACTGCTTCATCCAATGGCACTACATCAAATAATTTATCAATTAAGCTTTAACGAAGGACAAGCCAAACATTTAATGAATATTAAACAATAAAAACTTCTAAACCTTTTGGATAAAAACGAACACTAAAAGCAGCTATTTCGTTAACTTGCTTTTTATGATTCATTATAGTTCTTAAACTCAACGACATGGTTGTTAATGAAGGTGATTTAATCGGTTCAGAAAAATTTGATTCTTTCAAAATGCTAATTTTTTTAGGATCGTCGACAACAAGCTCAAGTTTGCACCAAGAAATCTAAACATACAAAGTATATATATTACTGCCAAAACACTTTAGTTGTGTAATTACTTGAATTTTGATGGTAAAAACTCACTCTAGATGTTTCCACAATAGCATCTTTGATTTCCAGCCAACATGGTCCTTTAATTTTGCGTTTCAATATGAATAATTCAAGCGCAGAAGTATTTGTACCAAAAGCGCGAGTAAAAGTTTTTCCACTCAAATTTCTAGGTAAAGAATCCTCTATTAATTAACAGTAATAACGTAGGATTAATAAATAGGATTGCAAATTTGAATCAAAAAACTTCATATGAATTAAAAGAGCATACGTGTAAATGGATATGTTACTTTCAAATATTGTGCTTCAGTAGGAATGTCTGGTAATTCGAACCCATATTTACGATTCACTGGCTTTGTAAAAACTTGAAAATCTCTGAATTTTTTTTTAAAGATATCATTCACTTCACTACTAACATCTTCCATTGTTACATCAATTTCAGTTTCATTATCGTGTTCTGTAAATTTATACAAAGCAAAAGAAAATCGATTAATAATAATTCATCCCACTTATAAAATATTTGAAGAAATATATTGATTACCGTCAAGTTTTCTTTGTCTTGGTAATATGAAAACATTTCTATGAATGTTTTTGACAGTGGCGCAGCAACTTATGTACGTTTTACTTTCGTTGTTGAATACCTATATAATGAATTTAAATGTTATATAAAAAACTCATCATTTTGTATAATCTGATTGATCTACCTTTCCAATAATATATACAATTCCAAATTTTTCGACTGCATCTATCCAAAACAATCTGTAACAATTATGTGATTGATCATTAATAGGTGGAATTGTTTCTTGAATAAATGATTGGTCAAATTTTTTATCATTTTTCGTTTGATAAATAAATTCACTGTTTGTATCAAGTTTCAAAGGTTTATTATGATCCATTGAGGCTGTATCTGGTTGATTGGTTTCATGAATATATGATTGGTCCTGTTTATCATCTACTTTTTCTTGATAAGTAAATTCGCTGTCAAAAGGAATATATTCCATTGAGACTGTGTCCATTTTATCGGTTTCATGAATAGATGATTGACCTTGCTTGTCATCTATTTTTTCTTGATAAATAACTTCACTGTCCAAAGGTGTATATTCCATTGAGACGGTATTGGTCTCATGGTTAAATGACTGGCCCTGTTCATCATCTACTTTTTCTTGATAAGTTAAATTACTTTTCAAAGGTGTATATTCCATTGACATTGTGTCTAACTTGTTTTTCTCACAAGTATATGATTGCAGCCCACCATTTACTCTTTTTTGATTTCTTTGGTACATAAATTCGCCGTCAGCATCAGGATTCATGGGTTTATAATCCATTGAGACTGCGTTCAATTGATTATTCTCTTGAATTAGAGATTGAATAAATTCCTCTTGTTCGTCATCTTCGTCTTCATCATCCAATCTTTGCAAAAGATCAGACATAAATTCGGACTCTTCCTTAGTAGATTTCGTCTAAGTTGAAAATAATGATAAGTTTTATATTAATCAAAAAAAAAAAAAAAAAAAAAAATACGCACGCTTCTATGTTTTGTCAATTTATTTGAAATGGCAGCACGTAAAAAATAATTATTGATAGTTGTATTTGGTTTGGCATCATTTTGATTTTCTGAACCTTTTCTTTTTCGCTTTTCTGTAACCCAATAAGTTATCAAAAACGTAAATAAATAATCGAATATCTTAAATGGCGCGTTAAAATAAGTAAACACTGCAAATAAAATAAAAATATTTCAATAACACACCATCTATTGGGTCTTCTTCATACTCGGATTCATCAGCATATTTTTGTCCCAAATCATCCAACTCTTCTGTTATATATCGAGTTCCATCATCGTTAACAACCATTTCTGTCACTTTCTTGACTTCAGATTGATAAATTTCTTCCGTAACTTCATCATAAATGACTTCTGGCTCTTGAACCTTTATCGACGAAGAATCTGTTACGCGAAAATATTGTAAATAACAAGAATATTTATAAATTTATATTTATACCTCATACTCTTGAAGACGAGAACCTCCTTCTTGTCGTAAGCGACGAAGAGTTTGTAAGGCAGCAAGATTAGATTTGGCAACGGCGCGTCTCTTTGGCAAGGACATTTTTTTATTATAAGAACGTGTTAACCTGAAGGGCCAAAAAATGATACGACGCGTTTTATCAGCCCACGTGCATCATGTAACAATTGTAACATTATCCGTTATACTAAGAATTTTACTAATTCCGGCCTAAATTATACGTTTAATTTCGATTATTCGATTTAATTTCACATTTATTTTATGAAACCATAATTTTTTTTTATAAAAAGAATTATAATAATAGAAATTATTTAATCTATTCTAAGATACTTTTTTCGTATCAATTAGTCATTTTTCTATAATCTTAATAATAAAATGGGTTTGTTGAAAAAATAAAAATTATGTAAATTATGTAATAAATGAAATTGCGTAATAAATGTTCTAGATTATTTTTAAATACGTAAACAATTAATAGTTAATAGTTACGAAAATAAATAACGATTTTCTTCATCTAATTAATTTATCTCTTTTCTTCATCATGATACTTCTCTTGATGATTATTTAATTTTTGAGTATCATCATCATCAGCATCACTATCACCAAAATGATCCAAATCACCTGATAATTGTGTTTCAATTCCAAAATTATCCCTATTATGTATTTTAGAATATTAATTTCAAATTAAAAAATAATTAATAATATAAAATATCTTAATATACTTACATTTCATTGGTTTCTTCGGTGTTTACTCTCATTCCTTGCTTAGTATTTCTCCTGATTTTTCCCATAATTTTTCCTCGAAATATGAATGCAGCCAAACCAAGTACACCAAAAATAACAATTATTAGTGTAGTAGTGCCACTGTACAAGAAAAATAGTTAAAACAAATCAATTATATTAAATAATATAATGGCAAAAAAAAAACTTACGCATCATAATAATGATTCCAAATTTCATTATTATCTTTATGTTCAGAGTTCGAATTATTATCATCATCGAATTCCTACCAAACGAAAAATTTAAAGTTTTTTTTTAAATTAAATTAAATTAAATGGCATAAATACGAATAGCTTACCTCTGATTCAACCTTTGATGGGAACTTATTTACAATATGATGATCCAATCCCATAAATCTATACATCATGTCCATTGTTGCAAGAGGGACATCATATGGTACCATATGACTTGCATTAAATATCTTAACGTATGTAAGATTTCTCTCTGCAACGATATGTCCTGCAAGAGTATCATTAACATACCAAAGTAACTTTGTATTATTCTATAATAATAAATATAAATATACAAATATAATTAAATTAATTGAATTACAAAAATTAACGAGTTAAATTACAATTACCTGAAATCCTTTGTAACCATTCCATTCCAAATTTTTTATCATGGATTCAGTTCCCATATAATTACAAATTATATCTTGATCACCACTATTTTTAATAAATTACACCAAAACAAGTAAATTAATATGTTCAAAGTTTGGATTATAAAGAAATTATATGCACCTAAATAATAATATTTTAATTTGTTTCAAAATTTCGGGGAATAACTATTAGTTGGTAGTAACTGAATTAGTAATATTATTCCCAAATAAATTAATCACAAATAAATTAATCACAAATAAAAAATAGTTATACATACAGTTATAGAAGGTGGGCTTTGATCACCATTAAACCTTACATTAACTGTATTGTCACATTCTACCCATAATTCTTTTTTTTTAGTTGCGTGAAGATCTTTAACAACATCTGGTCTCTAATAAAAATGAAACTTATTAGTAAAAAATAAAGAAAAAAAATATTTTAAATCATAAATGTGGTCTGAAAATACTTACGCGTAAATAATCATAAACAGTATCTAATTCATATGGCCACTTAAGTCCACAAGAAGGATATGAATCTGAGTGATCTCGGATATCATATTGATTTATGCATGTATCAACTTTTCCAATACTATAATAGGATAAATAATAGGATAAATAAACAAATTTTTTTTTTTTAAAAAAAAAAAAAAACACTAAAAATCGATCAAATAAAGTATCAATACCGTTTTCGCGAATTCTCCAAAATTGTATTAAGAATTTGTTCGCATGCATCGATCTTAATGGCAACCGTTTTCTTTAAAGCTTCATTACATTCTTTCAATTGCAACTCTGCAAGATTCTAATGAAAATAATAATGATGATGAATAATAATAGCGTCATTAAAATGTTAGGAAAAATACCTACTTTATAATCACCATCTAGGAGATTATTAGCAATTGCAAAATCGTAGTATGAAGGATACTATATATAATTTTGTAAAATTAATAAGAATGTACTTTTATGCGTCTCAAAGTTCACATATTACAGTTAGTTTATACATACCTGTGTACTAGGATCGACCCATCCATTGCCGATAACTAATCCTCGCAAATTATACTAACAAAGATAAATTTAATTTATTGACATGAAATTTTTTTCCTTCTCAGAAACATATATTTCGAATTACCTTTGTATTCGATTCAATGTTACGTTTCAAAATTCCATCTGCTATGTATGGTATATATACCCCAGCAAAACTCTCTCCTGCCAGATATATCTAAATATAAATGTCTTCAATAAATTACATCCAATAATATAAATACTAATAGTTAATCAGCTATCCAAATAAACTTACATCGTCTTGAGAATATTCTGGAAAAATTTCAAAAAATTTATCAAGAAAAAGTAAGAATTGTTGCGGGACTTGAGTCGCATTTCTCACATAAAAATCTTGATTCGTGAAGCTAAATCCTGTGCCTACAGGCTGATCAACTTTGAAATAATTTTGCTCAATTAAATATCATGAATAAAAAAAAAAATAAATAGAATTTTCATTAATTCATATCTACCATATAACACATTAGCATATTCATTCCATGATCCATAAAAAGGTCTTAATGTTTGATCTTTATTAACCCTAAAAGGTCCAGTCTCAAGAAATACACCATCCATACTAAACAAAAATAAATTCTGGTTAGTACTATATTAAATAACAGGCACAGTCAAATTATGATTTTTGTTACCTTGAGCTAAGTTTGCAAAAACGGTGTGAGAAAAGTAACAATATTTTTAGGATTATTGTTTGTTTATGATAGTATAAAAGATAGACTTACCAACCGGGGCCTATTTAAATTAAATCATAACATCATTAAATTTTTAAAAAAGTCATTCAGAGGAATTTATCAATTTTCTTTAAATATAAATATCTAAATATACCTCCATTGAGCCAAATAATCTAATTTGTGATTCAAAAATTTTGTTTAATTCTCATTCTCAAATACATATTTAATAAGAAATGATTAAATATACTAAAGTAACTTACTAATTTAGCATTATCGGCAATATGAAGGTTATGCATTAACCAAAAAAATATATAAGACTCTGATTGTTCATCTATTAAAACGTGACTAATTCGAGGAGAAAATACGTGAGTTTAAGCAAATCGGAAAGACATTCTAAATAAAAAATCTTTCTTACCCGGCATGTGATTTCAAATATGAACTGTCCGGAAGACCAGGTAGTGTCCTCACAAAGTAATCCGCAGCTAAAAGTTATTTTATCAAAAAATTGACCACCAACGCGCTAATTAAAAACTGCTATAATAACAAACCATTTTCTACTTCTGCTGTTTCTGAAGCCTTGATAACCGCAAATATAGCCAGCCCTATTGTAAGGACCAGAGATTTAAGATTGTACTTCATCTTTTCAAGAGGATGTTAATAAAATAAGAGTTCATAAAATATCCGTTATGTAAAAAGAAGCCGTGGCTTTGACCAGAACAAAAATGATCACATGATTAATTACGCGTTATAATGAATTAAGTATGTACATATAAACTACTTTCAAATTAGGATTACCCGATTACCAGTGCCATAATATATTTTTAGTTTAAACAGTTTAAGCAGAATTGCTGTGGTGGCCTGGTGGCATTTCAAACAATTTGCATACACTTTCAAATGTACGTGTTAGTGCATATAGAATAGGATCGACATTTATTTATACATGTACACGTGATAAAGCGTATGCAAATTGTTTAAATGCGGGCTTCAATATATAAATCATTTTTAAGTTCTGTAATCTTGTTCACGTGGATTTTAAAAAAAAAATATAAATCATTTTTAAGTCACGGGACCATTACTGTTTTTTTTCCAACGCGCAATACGTGCTAATCTTATCGCGAATCGTTTGTAAAATAATTTTAAGATAAAGAAACGAACGACAAAGAACGGATCAACGCATTTAAATCCTTCTATCCGTCATAAAAAAATCTTGTGTAAAAACAAGATCACTTAAAATTAATAAAATGAACAAATTAGAACAAGCAAAAAGCGCTATTGAAGAAGTCACGAATCAATGTCTTGAGGTGCTCTTTTTAGTTTTATTAACTTTTTTAGAGCTATAATCTAAACGTTGTTTATTACGTAAAAGAAACTCGAGCAAGATCCTTCAGACATTGAGTGTCATTCCGCGCTTGTATCCACATTGGAAAAAATTTTATGCTCGCCTACAAATTATTCAGAGCAAGAACAAGTTGATCTGTTAAATAGCTTAAAGTTTTCAATTTTACCATTAAATGAAGAAGGAAAAAAGGTAAAACTTCAATAATTATTCAAACTATTTATATTATTATTAATATTTTTTTTTTTCTTTTTAGATCAAACTTTTAAAACAAATATCTTGGGAATTGTTTACTTTAATGATACCTTTTCTTTCATTAACTCCAAATTTAGCACAAGAAATTTTACAAAGCATTGCACAGCACAACAATGTTCGAGAGACACATCTAATGATTATGGAAAGACTTAGCTGGCTTGAATGGAAGAATCAATATCATTCTGTAATGGAATTTAGCAGTTTAGTCAATATTCTAAAAATAGGTGAATAAAATCTTGTATTTTTTTAGTAAAGGAACTAATAGTTATAATTAAGTGTTATGATTTCGTTTTTACTTACGATTCTTAGTTCTAAATCGATTGGATAGAGAGAAATTGATTAATTTTCTTCCGGAGACAATTAAAGCTATTGTCTGTATATGGCCAGTTTTGGATAAACTTGAAGATAAACATAAAAATATTATTGTTGATAGTTTGATACAATTCACTGAAATTATAGCAGAGTTAATAGAAGTTGAGAAAAAGGTTTAACGATTTTATTTTAAACTTTATATGTAATTGACTTCAAAGGTTATTAATAATGTTTCTCTTTATTTTCAGGAATTTAAACTTAGTTCTATGCCAGAAGAGTTGTATAATCAAGAATATTACTTAACTAATTATTTAGTTGTTACTTCTTTTGAAAAATTTATTCGATCTACTCACATTCCTATGTCGCCTACATATTATGAGATGTATCATCCAAAATTTAATGTTCCTTGGAAACATAAGCAAAGTTTAGACACTCAAGCTATTGATATCGCGAGACTTGATAAATTAATTGTAAGTTGATTTATTAGGGTTCATAATTTTTATGTTATAAATAACTAAATTTAATAAATTATTCTTTTTGTCAGAAAACTTCTATAAAAGCTCATATTTCAATAGATCAGCTTGTTAATTACATCAATAATTTTGTAAAATCACCTGGTAAATAAAATATAACGTTGTTGTATTTATCGGTTATGACAGCAAATTGTTGAATACTACTTTTTTACTCAAGATAGCAGTGAAAAGGGTAGAAAATTTCCTATCGGAGATTTTCCTATTTTGCCGAATGGTGTTTTGGTATATGTTGCAAGTATCATGTATTATCAATTTATGCCACAGGATGACTCTAGTGCAGAAAAATCTGTAATTCCTTTATCTTCTGAATATTTATTCAGAAACCTTACTTCTATTGCTTCAAAATATCTATCAAGGTAAAATAGAATTTCATTGCTTGTATGTTTACCGATACTAATTATATTAACGATATTGTTTTTAAGTGACGTTAATGAACTTGAAATGGCAGATAAAACCTTATTGGTGTTATTATATTTGGCTGAAAGAAATGAAGAAAACACTATTTCTTCAGATAACCTTGAATCCAAATTATCTAAAGATGGAACAACTATAGTGCACTTATATCAAGCTATCACTACTTTTGCTTCAACTTCACCTAACGAATATTTACGTTTCATTGCATTCCAATTACTTTCACGCTTAATAACATTATGTAAAGATGATGCTAAAATATTCTTATTGAAGGAATTATTAACAAGTTGTCCATTTGAGACGATGAAAAGTGCTGCTATTGGAATTGTAAAGGATAACATTGCTCAAGGATTAAATAAAGCATATAAAAGAAAATCTGCCGATAAGGTAAGTAAACATATTTAATACATTTAACATATTTAGTATCTAATTTAGAATTGTGATTTTTTTTAACTTAAAATATTTACATTTTATTTTTATAGAGTTCTATTTTTGCCAGCAGAGTTATTGTCGATACTTTTTTGCCACACATACTTCGATTTGAATCATCTTCAGTATTAGTAAATGAAAAAGAATTTTCAGAAAAACATGGTTTCATTATGCAAGGATTGAACTTTTATATTTTTCTATTAATGAGAGATGAAAAAAATTTGGTTCGAATTTATTTTACTATATAATATATTATTATATTTTCTCTAATTCCTATCTACATTCATATTATTTTTATTTAGACTGGAGTATGGGATGATAAGCAAATAAGTGAAACGAATAAAGAATATATAGTTCCAATAAAAGAGAAATGTGATAATTGGATTAATGAATGTGGTAAAAAAATACAAGAATTAAGTAAAAATTTTCAAGGTAAAATTTATAAGTAATTAAAACAAGAAATTTTAATAGATTTTATAAATTTTAAATAATTTATTATATAAACTAGATCAGACTCATGTTGATCATATTCCGTCAAATCTTCCTGAAGAACGGCAAACAATGGAATTTGATATCTCATTTGAAGAAGACTCACTTAATAATATGGCATTAACACCATCTCAAGAATTAAAGGTATTTTTATTAATTACAACAATGTTTTAATATTTTAATAATAATATGATTAATTAATACGTTGGTTAATATTACATAAAATTTAGTTATTACAATATAATTTGTTCAATATGCAACTTGTACGGGATGCTATTGACAGAGTTCAACAAGTTCTTGTAAAGAAAAATAAATAATTATATCTTAATTCAATGTATGATTATAATTAATAAAGAACTAATGAGATGACAAATAGTATTTTTCTTTAAATTTGAACGGATGGTCCAGCACAAAAGAATAATACGCGTAGTAGGTTTTAATAATACTTTATAAATAAAACAAATAAATAAGCGTTTATATTTTTCACGTACATGCAGAATAGCATTTTTTATGAAAAAATTAATAAGGAACATAGAGGGTGTAACGCATCGTGATAATTTGGTATTTATTAACCTAAATTATAAAATGACGTTGAGATTATTTCAATTGAATATCTAGATCAAAAGTTATTAGCTTCCAAAGTTCAAGTACTTTATTAATATAAGGAAGGATTTGAAACATATAATTCTGGCCAGAATTTCTAAAATTCTATAATGTGGGCCAGATTAAAGATATGTATCATTACACAAATAACTTGTATTTAAGTTACAAAAAATTTTTTATACATTGTTAATCTTAATTTTTTTATTCTTATATCTCAAGTGCAGGCTGATTATGCATTAAAAAAATATAAATCACATCGGGCTGTTTCAAATTTTATTTTTGAAAATATTGAAGGATTAATAAATAAATATTTTGCCTGCATTAATAAGTATATTTATATTAACTTTACGTATTTGAATTTTAGCCAATCACAAATCATTATTGTTGTGATCACGTGATTTTTTAAAAAACTTCAATTTGAAACATTTATAAATTAGTTGATGTCTTATTGTGAGTCCAACTGTAGGATTTTTAAAAATTTGTGAAGCAAATACTGTATTTTCAAAATATAAAAATAGTGTTTTTTAATATTAATTAAAAATATTAACTAATATTTTTATTTTTTATTTTTTTGTAAGCATTTTTCAAGTTTTTTCTAATATTTAAATAATAGGTAAATTTTAAGTTTATGTTTTTTTAAATAAAAACATTAATATTTTTTATTTATTTTATAGATTTTAACTTTAATTTTGAATTAAAACAACAATATATTATTTTAAAGTATAATTTTAAAATTTAGTTTATATTTACCTTTTTTAAGTTTTAAAATTATTATTTTTTTTTTTTTGTAAATTTTATACTCTAATATTTAAATAAAAGTAAGTTTTGCAATATTTTGTTTTATTGCAAAATAATTTAACATTTTATTTTTTCTTATAAATTTTTAAGTTATTAAGTTTCAGTTTTGAAACTTATTATTTTTTTTTTGTTTTTATTTAACTAAAAATGTTTTCTTTAATATTTCTTTTATTTTTTTATTGTAGATCATAAAGAAAAGATTAACCTAATAATCATAATATAATCTTAATTTATATATTACAATATTTATCAAAGTATTTATTAAATATTAGTCACCAATCAGGTAGCTGATTGACTGATTGGCATTTTTGCTAAATACCATCACTAATCAGGCAGTTTGCTAATATTTGACCCAGTGATCAGAAAAGGATGAAATATAGCTTATTGGAATTGTTTTAATAAGATGAATCTAATGGTAGTAAAATTGCATTTCTAGAATTAATACTTGATGAGAAATTAAGTAAAATATAAAAATAAAAATATATCATTTATATTTTATTTAATTTTTTATTAACTATTAATTCTAGAAATGTGATTTTACTACCATTAGATTCGTCTTGTTAAGATGATTCCAATGAGCTATATTTCATTCTTTTCTGATTACTGGATCAAAAGTTAGTAAACTGCCTAATTAGTGATGGTTAGAGCTCTGAACAGGTCAGCCAAATTCAGGTAACCTGACCTGACCTGACCTGAAATTTAGGTCAGGTATGAGATTTTTGAAAAAAATTCAGGTCAGGTATGAAGATTGACCTGACCTGATTGACCTGTTGACCTGAAACTATTGATTCTACTATATAATAAAAGTGAGTTGCAGTATTGTGATTTACTTTTTTATATTGATTCTATATAAAAAAAGTGAGTTGCGGTATTGTGATTCACTTTTTTATATGATTTTAATATAAAAATGTTGAATTGCATTATTTCGAGAAAAAACGTTGCGAAAATGTTTTTTCATAATATTATATTAAAAAAATGGTTCATAACATTTTTTTTTTAAATATTTCAATAATAACGTTGCGAAAACATTTTTTTCATAATGTTATATTAAAAAAAATGTTTTGCAATATTTTTTTTCAATATTTTAATAAAAAACGTTGCAAAAACGTTTTTTTCATAATATTATATTAAAAAAAAAAAGTTTTGTACCATTTTTTTTCAATACTTTAATAAAAATAGTCCTGAAATTTTTCAGGTTTCAGGTTAGGTCAGGTTAAACAGACAACCTGATATAACCTGACCTGACCTGACCTGAAAAAAATTTCAGATCAGGTTTATCAATTAACCTGACTTGACCTGACCCATTCAGAACTTTAGTAATGGTATTTGTGAAAATGCCAATCAGTTACCAATCAGTCACCAATCAGCTACTTAGCTATCAGTGCTTATTTTTTTGATTACTAATTTACTATATAATAATCCTGTAATATATATTTTGTAATAATTGACAATATAATTGCTATTATAATTTAATATATATTAAAATACCATATTACAATAAAATGTAAAAAAATAATAATTTTATAATATATGATAATTATCCTTTTATATTAGTTACAATATTAATATTAAATATCATACTTGTTAATAGACTTATTAATATATATGTTATTAAATATGATATTTACATGACATGTCAAAAATTCCTATTAATATTATTTAAAAAGCATTATAAAATACTACCAAAAAAATCATCACTGATAGCAAAGTACCTAATTGGTAACCGATTGGTGACTGATTGATGCCTGATTTTTCACTTTTTGACCTGTGTAAATACAAGATCATGTATTGAAAAATACTTATAAATACCAATTTAAAATATTAATAAAATCTTTAAAAATTTATAAAATTAAATATTTAACTATTAATAAATAATTAAATTTTAATATTAGAGAGTTTACACATTATATTATGTAATTATCAAAGGGGGGGAGGGAAGTAACCAAAATCTTACGTTACACTTAATAAAATTATATGATTTATAAATATTATAATTTGATTGGTTATTAAATTTGACAAGGAGGGGAGGGGAGTAAGTTTATATTAAACTGAATACATAATATGTGTAACTTCCTTATTTAAATATTTTTTTTTTATTATTTAATAAATATAAAGTTTTAATATTTATTAAATATTTACTATTTAGTAAATACAAAATTCTATTTGGTTTAATTTTATAATGTAAGTGTAAATTACTATAAGCTAGTTTTTATAATATGTTGATTATATGTGTAGATACTGTGCAGATATTTAATAGTATTAATAATTTTTTTTTATTTGTAAAACATTTAATATTGCTGTAAGCAAAGATTGTATATTTCAAATTTACTTTAGTATAGATTTTATTATAGATTTTAAATAGATTTAAATAGTAATATATTTATTATTGATTGTTATTATAGTTTTAAAGTAATATAATAATATTTAACTATAAATAATATCACTTTTTAACAATAAATATTATAATAATATTTAACTAGATTATTATAATATAATGTTATTTAATTATAGAATCAGATGAGCAATGTTAAAATAATTACAGCAATAACAATATTACATGATTGTTTTATCTAAAAATTTAATATTTAAATGGTTATATTATACTTAACTAAATTTCAAATATATTAATAAAAAGAAACTTTTTTTGTGAAAAGATGGCTTGTTGTAAGAATAATATTCTTTTGCATTTAACAGTTGGATTGCTACAATTATGAAAAGTTAAGAAAATAAAAAACATTAATAATAAAAGAATTTAAGATAATGATGAAAATTTGATTGCAGTATAATAGGTTCTAAAATTACTTTTGCATTAAAAACAGGACCTTTGGCTAAGATAACATATTACATATATGTTTATTTGTTTAGTAAAATAGATCTTTTGACAGTGTATATGTGGAGTATTTTAATAATATGACGAATGGTTTATAAATTAATAATATTAATATAATTAAGTAGTTTTTTAATTTTTATTATTATGTATTATTTTAATTATTTTAATAAATTTATAGTGCTGCAATTAAAAAAAAAAAAAAAAAAAAAATTTCAAATACTGTATATTAAATTTATTAAAGTTTATTATAAGCTATAAAGTTATTTTTAAAATTTTTATTTTATGTACTTTATTTAATGATAATAATTTTAATTTATATATTTAAAGGTATTATTTGCATTTTATAATCATATATATAATATTTGCTTATATATATAATTATGTTGTATAAGAAAAAAAGAATACACTATTTTAAAATCTACAGATTGGCAATCTTTCTTTTTCTTTTTTCTTTTTTAAACAATGTATTTTTAATAATATTTTTGCTATCCGTTGCAAATTTTATTAAATTTATAAAATTTTTTATTACTTGTCTTTGCTTTCATCTAATAAATTTATAAATTAATTTTTTATTACTTATCTTCGCTTCATCTAGTAAATTTATAAATTAAGCTTTTATTACTTGTTTTCGCTTTCATCTAATAAATTAATAAATTAAGTTTTTATTACTTGTCTTCGCTTTCATCTAAGTTTTCACAATCAGATTTGACTCTAAAAAAAGTCAATCCTATTTTGCCCTTTAGAAGTTCTTTCTCATAAATTTCCTGATCTTGCGCAGTCCAATTAACACCACTGTTCATCTTTTTCCTATATAAGCTAAATATAATATATAAAAGATTAATATTAAAAAGTAAATCATTCTTTAAAAAAATCCAACACCGAAACATACTTTTCCCATTCGCGTGCATTACCCGAACCACTTGATACTATAAACGCTGTGTACGCTGGTAAACAAGAATAAATCTTTTCAATTCTATCATTTAATTGCTTCAGTGTTGTTAGTTTGTCGTTTTCATGCTCTGGCAGATTTTCTAGATCTTTAAATTTTCCCCAAATAAAATTATGATATATATGATTTCTATTATTGCTTATCGCATTTAAAACACCTGCAAAAACCTAAAAACAATCCTTAAAAAATCAATTATGTTGCAATATATAAATTTTAGATAGATCTGATAATTTAGATAACAAACCTCATCATCATTTGTACATTTTATTGAGTGCTTTGCATCAACACCTAGTAATTGAACTTTTCCAACATAATCTATGAACGCTGAAGTCTTGTTATATCTTTCAAGACGTTGAATTAAATTTTCATAAGATTTATCAAAATCTAGCCCTATAGTAAATAAAGTTAACAATTTATTACTAAAATAAAACGTGAAAGGTTTAATATAGGAAATTTACCATTGTTCAGTTTTAATTTTACAAGATCCATTGCTGCCTTGGCATCCTCAATAGAATCATGACCGACAATCTTTCCATCATCAACTTGAATTGAACGTTTAAGCCACTGATGTGACAACATTTTTAAACTTGATTTACTAAATATGCCTCCAGAATTCGTATAGAGAATTGATGTATCGATTACGTATGGATGCGTAAACTTATGGAATAATTGTTATAAGTTGTAGTATTTGTTAAATTAAAATTAAAATAAACATAATTTTTAAAAACTATTTAAATACCTTTAAGGCTTTCAAATCACATTCTAATGAATGACCAATTAAAACAGTGTCACTATCCACTAATTCTAATAGCCGATTTTGAACATCTTTTATATTCGTTGTCACACCCTTCAATCTTTCTTCAGTTATTCCGCTAAAACTAATAAAAAAAAATTTGTACATATTATATTAATATTAATATAATGAGATATATATAATAAACATTAAATAAGAAAAAATTACGGGGTCAAGTAATCGGTAATCGGTTCTTCTGGCATGACTAATTCATCATAAACAACATTACAATCAATGTCGACTATAGAAACACGCGTTAAGACAGATAGATCATTCGATTTACACTAGATTAGATATAGAATTTCATTCGAAAATTAATAAAAATCAGAATTTAAATGCCAAATAAGTTTAATTACCATTTCACAATCAATAGAAAGAATTTTGAAATTCTTTCTAGTAAATTCCTCTTTTATAAAAATATCAGATGCTTTCATGGGTACTTCAACCCAATCATCAGGTAAAACCTGGCCTTCTTTTGCCATGCAAGTCGGTAAGGGATAATCATTTTGAGCCATCTCCTCGGGGGTTAATAAGCATGAGTAAATTCGTTCATAAATATTCTCTGCAAAAAATTGTCAATTATTTAGTTCAACACAAGACAAATTTTTTTAAAAAAATTTATCATACCAGGAATTTCTTTATGCTTTACTGATCCTTTTTGAGCTTCAGATAAAAAGCAATTAAAAAGATTCCCCGTTGGGTTAAACATCCTTTTTGTGTCTCCAGAAGCACGGGTAACACAACCGTGTGAAAATATTTTCGGAAGTATTGGCAAATTTTCACTTAGTTTCAAATCAGAATTGCCAAAAAGACCTTTTTCTTGAAGTTTTTCCCAATTCAGCGGTCCTTTTGCTTTGACAACAGTTTCAGCCGTCAATCCAAATAAACTTGGATCAAGACCAGGTATCATAAGAAAAACGACTTTTTTAATTTCTTCTTCTTTCTTTAAATTAGAAAAATCAATAAATAACAATGTGAAATACAACATAATTATTAATTAATAAATATAGAAAAACCTCGATATAAAGCCATTCTGGACGTCTACCTTCATCGGTGAGCAAATGTAAGATAAGATTTTGCAGCTCCTATAACATAAATGTAAAATAAGTAAGATAATAAATGTAATATACAAATTCGACATATACAACCTTGATGTCTATTATTTTCCACCGGTTTAGATCAAAGTAAAATTCAGGACCGTGAGATCTAACAATAGGCTATATAAATAAACGAGTAACCATTATTTAAACTTAATAAGCCACGAATAATTGAGAAATTATTTAATTGGATAAACTTATTCACTTTTTCTTTCTTCCTTCTTCTTTTCGCTTCTTTTTTACTTTTAGCTATTTAAGTATAAAAAAGAGTTTAATACGGGTTGACTCATACAAGAACGTGAAAACAAAAAAAAAATATCTACTTTTTTTTCGATGATAAGGACCAATCGGTTTTGATTTAACTTCTGAGCTAACTTCCGAGAGACGCGCTCGCGTAGAAGCAATAAAATCTACAGCTGTCGATATTTTTCGAACTTTACTTTTTTTCTCATTATTTGTTTCTACTTTTTCTTCAATTTCATTTGATCTTTTCATTCGATCTTTCATTGTGGCAAAACATGAAGGACTAAACAAAATTGCGAATGAACTTTTTAAGAATAAACAATTTTTTTTTCGTGTTATATATATGTTGTGTTACTTTCATGAGGTACTGTACTCTTAACTCATGTGATCTTTTTTATCTGTTATAAGTGCTAATGTTTTAATGTTTCGATGGATACTTGTAATTTAACTATTAAAAATGTCTCATTTTACTCTGACTTTCTATTTTTTGTCCGGCCTTTGTGCCTTACTTACATTTTTATTTAAAGAAAGTAAATCTGAAAGTACCTCATCTGATCGTGGGCAGTCAGGGAAAGATTATAAGAACTTCCGTCTAAATTATTTGATCGTTTATTTATTAGTGATGAGTAAGTTATTAAAACGTGAGCTGTATTTATTATATTTATTACTTAAAAATTGATATATGTTTTATATTTTACAGCCGGTGATTGGCTGCAAGGACCATATGTTTACGCTATTTATAAAAGTTACGGTTTTGATTTGAAACAACAAGCAATTTTGTTTGTTACTGGATTTCTTTCGAGTGGAATTTTTGGAACTGTTGTTGGATCTGCTGCGGATAAATAGCAAGTTGCATTTCTCTAATTTGATTTACGTAGTTTTGTTCTTGAATTACTAATATCTTTCATATATTCTTAGTGGGAGAAAGAAATTTTGTTTACTTTTTGCATTACTTTATTCTACATTTTGTGTTATTATCACGTCAAAAAATTTTTATATATTGTTATTTGGAAGGTTTGTTGATATCTAAATAACTGTCGACAGATACCTACTTTTATTTATACGTGTTTTGCATCTGTGTATTTAGGATCTTGTCTGGTATAAGTACTTCTCTCTTGTTTTCGGTCTTCGAAAGTTGGATGGTCAGTGAACATTTTTCAAGAGGTAAATATTTATCATTTTATCCTAATGCGTTCAAAAGTTGATTTATTTTGACATCATCATTTTGTATAGGATTTCATTCCTCATTATTATCTGAAACATTCTCAATGGCAACTTATGGGAATGGACTTGTTGCTATTTTTAGTGGATTATTAGCAAATTGGTTAGCCGAACACTTTGGAATTACATCACCTTTTTTAGCAGCAATTGGCTTCTTTGTATTAGCGGCTTTAGTAATAACTGTTACTTGGAAAGAGAATTACGGCGACAAAGTAATAATTCTTAAGATTATTTTATAATCACGGTTAATTAGTCCATATTTAAAGAAGTTTTTTTACTTATTTTAGGATAATTCGAAAGAAACTTCATCTTTGACTCAAGCTTTGAAGGTTATAAGCGGCGGTAATTCTGTATTTATAAACCTTTCCATTGGCTGGCCCAATTTAATAAGTTACATTTAAACTATTAGATTCTCGCGTTCTTGCAGTTGGAGCCGTCCAATCATTATTTGAGGCTTCCATGTACACATTTGTATTCTTCTGGGGTCCATTTTTAGAAAATTATCATAAATCAGAAGAGGGTTTGCCTTTTGGAATAATTTTCGCCAGGTATTATATTGATTATCTTAATTCGTTGACATAAAACGATTATTAATAGATTTTATTTGTAATGTCGCTTCATGTCGTTTTTTTTTGACAGCTTTATGGTTTCCATTATGATTGGATCATTACTTTATGGTAATTTATGTGGTTCGCGTAATATTCCTTTATCTGATATTGCACAAGGAACACTTTTATTAGCGGGAGTCTCATTATTGTTTCCATTGCTTTATCCCGTAAGACATATTTAAATAACAGATCTTTTATTGTGATTGTTTCCTCACCATTTTTGATACTTATTCATAATTCCTTTATAGAATGAATACACGTTGTTTTTCTTTTTTATATTGTTTGAAGTGACATGTGGACTTTATTTCCCTACTATTTCCACTCTTAGAGCTAAAGTTGTACCTGAAAACTTAAGAGCTACTGTTAGTAATCTATTCAGAGTACCGTTGAATGCGTGTGTTGTAACACTTTTGGTAAGTTTTGCAATTTACTTAAGTATTTTTAAACATAAGAATTAATTTTGTATTTACTTATTCGTTTAAACATTTTTATAGGTATCTGATTTAACAACTTCAATACAATGTTTGATGTGTAGTGTATTACTTATCGTAGCTTTTGTTTGGTCTTTTGCATTAGAGGTAAGTAATTTGCGTATATGTATGATCATTAAAGTTAACAATTTATATTGATCGATACGTTTTATATTTTAGGAATCTGATACTTCTAAGAAAGCTGCAAAGATCAGAAAAAAACTTGAAAAAAAAAATAAATTAATGTAAATTAATATTTATTAAGACAAGCTTTTAAAAAAAAAATAGATTAACGATGCTAGATATGCTAGATAATAAAAATTAATTTATAGATAGATAACAAGCTTTTTAATATTAATAAAAAAATTAATGATTAGAGATTATTTATTATAAACTGTAATATAATTTATATAAGATAGAATATTACGAATAGCCTTCTATCAGGAATACCAACCTTCGGTCACGATAACCAGAAACGTTCGATATCGTTAGTCATTAAAATTTTTTTTCAATAATCTTATAATTAAAAATGAAGGAAATTTGTACTTACGCATCCTGCACAGTTATGTTTGGAATTAGGTTAGAGTTAGAAAGTTAATTATGTTAAGATTTTACTACCAAAAAAACAATTATTTTATTTTAAAATAAACAAATTTTATTGGATGCGTTATTATGGATCCAACTATACAAGAAAAAAAAAAAATATTAGAAAATATTTCTATTAATAAAAAATAATTAAGTTTTAAATTTACCAATTTTACGTCCAATAGCTTTAATACAAAATAGAATCTATAAAAAAAATAATAAATATTAGAAATATTTTTAAAAAAAATTAAAAGAAATAAAACTTACCTTCTTCTTAAATTATATATTTATCTTATCATTATATTTTAAAAATATTTAAATCATTTAAATAATTTAATTAATTGATAATTCAGATTCAAATTGAAATTTTTCTATATAGTATTTGCAAAATTATACAGATCTTTATGCTGCAGATTTATACAGATTTTTATTTTAAAAATTGATAAATTCTATTTAATATTATATCTGTTATTTGCTATATAACTCTCTTATTTTCTTTTTATTTTTTTTTAGATACTTGTTATATAACAGATGTTATAATAGATATATAACAAATGGAATATAATATAATAGAATTAGATCTAATAGTCCTTCTCTTTAAAATATACTTGGAATTTCTGTAGGGTTGCTAAAAGTGATTTCTGCTAATATTAGAAGAAATAATAGTAATATTCAAATATTTTAATTTAAAAGAAAGAATTTTTTTAATAAATCTATTAATTTTTAAATTATAATTTTATTATATAATTTAAATTCCTTTACTTTATCTTTCAAATAATTGTAATTCTTAGTAAAAAGGTTTTAAAAAGCAAAGTATTTTCTTTTTCACAATATATTCTTTTATATTAAAAGAATATAATTATTATTTAATAAATTTTGTTTTTAAAAAAGGTATTGTACATGTTAAATTTTTTTAAAATATACGTATATATTAAATGAAACTAAGATAAAATGATCAATTAAATGCTATTAAACTTCTATTTAAAAATACATTATATTATATTATAACCCCTTTTTAATTTTACTCTTACAATAAAATCTTTTTTTATCCAAAATATTAAAAATATCTATAATAATTTAAATAATTAACTAGGTTACCTTTTTTTATTTAATACATTAATATACAAGATAAATATAATAAATATTAAATATTTTACCAAAAAATTATTACTCATCACATACTCTTTTATTTTTCTTCTCAAAATAATAAATTAAAATCTTGTTAATAATTGACTAATTCCAGCATCTAATAACGTTAACCATTGTAATAAATCATCAGTAGTTTTTGCTAAATCTTCGTAAACTTCACTGTTACCACGATACTTATCCATTTTTAATGGTTTCAATTCAGGTCCTGCAGAATTTAACAATGTAGCTGATGTTATAGATGTATTTTGTACACTTACTCCACTTCCCGTAAAAAATGATCTTGTTGGTGAATTTTGTTGTAATGATAATTGATTAAATTTAGATGATAAAGGTGAAGGTGTGAGTAAATGAGATGATGACCCATTCTCTTCCGCAATAAACTGATTAAAATATAAAAAAATTTCAATTCATAAAATTTTTAAATGAAAAAATTTCCAAGCATATAATAAATATTATACATACTTTCGGTTTTGGAGATCTCTGCTGCATATGGCTTACGCTTGTGGCTCTTTGTCTTGGTAAATTTACAGCTAAATTATTATTATTATCACTATCTGGCTGGATATGCTTAGATTTCATTAAAATATCTTCATGATTTGGTCTATGAGAAGTATTTAAAGTAGTAGCAGACCTAACACGGCGAGCTTGAGAAGGATATTGCTTTCCTTGACTACTTGATCTATAGAGAGGTATACCAGATGACTCATTATTGGGAACAGAAATATCAAAACTTCCATGTCTTGCAGGAGGTGGTCTAACATAACCACCCATTTTTGGTGGTAAAGATTGTGGTGGATTAACATAATTATTCGTAGATTCTGATGTCAAACCTACCCCGTTACCTGATTTTGACATGGCAAGAGAGGATAATGGAGGAGTTAATAATCCTCCTGAATTTGATCCTGCGTTTGCTGGTGAATTTATCTTATCTATAGTAGGATTAGTAATTTCTACCGATATATTGGATTTATGTTGAACTGAAAAATATCCACTCTCTTGTCTTACAGGACCCTTTCCATTTGTTATAGAAACAGGTGATAATAATCCATTTCTAGTCATGTCTGATAATGACTGTGTTGGAGAAATGATCTTTGATACAGGAGACGATGATTCTTGTTTCTCTGAAGTAGCATTTTTTGTAACTTCAGGTTTTGAAGGCAAATTTTGTGAACTCGGAGTTGAGTCGAGATTAAATGATGAAGATAAAGGTGATTTTGAACCATCTCTACTTGACGAAGATAACCTACTATCAATTGAACCACTATCAGAGTTAGAATCTTTTGTTTTTGGAACAAGATAATTTGATTGAAAATGAGCTCTTGTTATTGTTCTTGAGGGAGAATCTTCCATATGTGGCATTAAATTAATATTTACTGGAGGTATAGTTATAGTTGGATTTCTGTAACTTCCAGTCGGTGAAGAATCCGAAACATTGTCTTGCAACTCTTCATTATTAAATAATTGAAGTAATGGATGTTGAGATTCCGAATATTTTTTTCGAAACATTGGTTTTGAAGGTGAAAGAAATCCTTCAGTTATTATTCTTCCATGACGAAAACTCGCATCTCTTGGTATAACAGTTCTATCCGTATCATCTTTAGATGATTCTTCTTGTTTTTTATCAATTGTAAATCCTTGTTGTTCATCTCCTTCTATTACAGGTGATAATTGATCCGATTTAGTATGTAGTGATCCCAAAGAATGTGATTTACGATGATTTACTGTATTTTGAACTGTATCAAATAACCAAGCATCATCATCCTCTTCTTTTTGTCCTTCCTCAAAATCATATGAATCACTTTCACTAAAAAATTAAGTTATTATCATTTAAAATTATTATTTGTTTGCTTTTTTTTTTTTTAAAAAAAAGAAACCAATTGAAACCTCGATGGTGTTCCATGAGGATCTTGGAACGAATGACGATATCCAGTTGTCTGTTTCCATTGCTCATATTTTGTGATAAGTTCTCTTAATAATCCATTTGGGTGTTTTGAGGCTCCTTTTATAAATTTTGTTTTCATTAGTTCTTCTGCAGTAGGCCTCTATAGAAAAATATATATATATATATTATAGAAATATTTCGGGTACCAGTTTATCAACTTTAAAAAAAAATTGTAAAACGTTGTGGTCATTATATTGTTTGTTTTTCAAATTATTTACCTGATCAGAATAATCATTTAAACATAAAGAAACAAATTCTCTGATGTGAGAAGAAAATTTCTCCTCTAATTGAGGTGGAGGAGTTTTAGGTATAAGTTGTATAGCTTTCATAGCACTTAATTTATGATGAGGAGGATTTCCTTTGGCCATTTCAATTACAGTAATCCCCAAGGACCAAATATCCGCCTGAGTTTATTAATAATAATGAGAATTTTTTTTTAAAAACATAATCACAAATCATTTCTAAAATATAATAATCACAAACCTTTGTATCATAAGTTGCTCCCTCTTTTATTACTTCAGGTGCCATCCAATATCTATATAAATTTCGTAAATTAAGGAATTGAATTAAAACAATAATTTGTAAAATTAAAAATGTATCTGATGATAATTAAAAGGATACGGAGTGCCAACAAATGAAGTCCTTTTTGCGGATGAAGCTGTTAATTGTCCCGCTACACCGAAGTCGCATAATTGAACTTTACCTTCTTCAGTTAATAATATATTTGCCGCTGTTTTTTTTTTCATGTGTTGAAAAAAAAAAAAATATTATTAACATCTAATATTTTTTATTTAAATTTAAAATAATTTATTTACCTTTGATATCTCGATGAATAATTTTACATTTATGTAAATAAATTAATGCTTGTAAAACTTCTTTAGTTATCAAAGATATATATTTTTCTTCCAAATTGCCAGCATTTAACTATAATAATAAATAAGAATAATACGTTAAATATTAAATAAAATAAAGATAATAATAAAAAGGATTAGAATTCTATCAATTACCAATGATCTAATACTTCCGCCTGCAGCATATTCCATAATAATCCATAATTTTGTCCCATGAAGAAAACTTCCAAAATATTTAGTTATATTCTGAGAATCACTATGTTTTAGTTGAGATAATAAATTTATCTCTTTAACAATATCACCAACATCGTCTTCTTCCGTGTCTAAATTTAACACTTTAATTGCTATAACTCTGTTATTTTCATTATCTATCCTATTAAAAGAAATAGAAAAAAAGAATTATTTTTATGAAAGAAAAGAAAAAAATATTTATTTAAAGTTTGTTTTTTATTTATCATACCCTTTATAAACAGCGCCATAAGCACCTCTACCAACAAGTTCTTGTCTAGAATAACGATCTCTGACTTTTTTCTTCGGTACATAACGCTGATCACCAACATTATTCATTATAAAGAAAGAACAAAAAAAAAAAAAAATAATAAATAATAAAAAAATAAAGACTCTTTGATTTTTATCAAAAAGAATATTAACCTGAACAAAGAAACTTTTATTAAAAATTTATAATTTATAAATTTTTTTGTAAGTCAGAATTGTAACACCTCAAAATTCCTAAATTGAAAGATTAAATTTCGGATAAAATGCCTATTGTCCATCAAATTCTCTAATGTTTATGGTAGCGTGGTTATCAGATTTGTTCCCAATAATCAAATATAAATATTTATTCTGCGGTGGGAACTTTTAGCGATCTATATTATTATTCGATAATAAATTATTTCACAACAGTTATTAAGGGTACTAAATAAATATGCATGGGGTAAATTTACTGAAAGACGAAATATTTCATTGGATTACTTGTAAACAATAATTCTTCTTTTTTTTACTAGTTCCACTCGTACTATAATCTACTTCCCACGTTTATTATTATAAATATTAAATATTTTGTAAATCGTATGATAGAGTATCTCAACGGTGAGTATTGTTACTAAAAGGTAATACTAACCAATTTTTATACGCATAAACTGTTATAGAATTGGTAAAGAGTTTCTAGAACTTTTAATAAAGTTAAAAATCTCATCATTGATTCGAAGAATGTCAAAAAAAGACAAGCTGTCATTACGAGATATATTATTATTTTTTTTTTTGTAACAATGGTATAAAGTTCAAAGTTGTGATCAATTATATCTTGCATAATAATTTATTATCGAAAATCAACCGGGTTACATGAGTGTTAAAATATCAGAAAAATTTCATGTTACAGAAATTAATTATAATTAAAAGGAGGATAAACTTTGCATACATGATGATCATTAATACATTTTATTAATATAATAAATAATAAATTTACAGGCAATTAAAAAGTATATATTATGTCAAATCATTTCCATTTTATTATATCTATTTTCCATTTTATCCATTTTATTCATTTTATTCATTATTTCCGCACGAAAAACAAGTTTTTTTTAAATGAAATTTTCAACATTTTTTTTTTTCCTATTTTTCTTATGATGATTGAATTTATTTTTAGAACATTATTCTATTTATTCTATTTATAGAAGAAATTGCCAAGTAAAAGCATGAAAATCAAGGCGTAAAACTTGTCACATGTGTAACGACGGTGACGCTGTATTACCATGTAATATATTTGATATCCATTTCTGTAATGAAATAATGGACGATTGAAAAATATGATGTAAGACCAAGTATCTTTCAAATATTAACATACTAGAAAAGTCCGAAATTCTTTCTTTTTAGTTTTAAAATGTTTAGCCTTGTTATTTATTATAATAGAAAGTAGCCAAAAAAACAAAGGTATAAATACGTTGAACTTTTTTCTTGAAAAAAAAATAATCATTTGATATTTTTAGCTTATAATAAATAATATGTAACATATCTATCGCAGATTACTACTTAATTTATTAACACAATAAAGATAAACGAATTTTAAAAAAAGAATTCTTTATTAATTAAATAAATAACCTGTTTCATATTTTTAGTAGAATATTCCATCAGAATATTTTATGATATTGTTAAAATAGGAATCTTTGATAGTAATTTAGTAAAATTGTTTCCGTATTTCCATTATAATTATAAGGTGAATTTTTTTTTTATTTATAAGGATAAATCATTATTAAATGAAAAATTTTTTCAATTTCTAACTAAAAAAAAAACTTTTTTCTCCCTAATAATCTCAGAACACGCTAAAAAAATTATTAGTAAAAATGTTACATTCACATATTTCACATCATAAAAGGTCTTCAAGTTCTTCTCACTTACATGTAAAACGCGGTATACCTGCGTCTAATAATGCTTCTCTAATAATTGTGGCAATTCTCTTAACTGTAGCTGTTATATTATTTATTTTAATTTTGGTTATTATGATTTTAAAACAAAGGAGAAGGAGTAGAAATAGAATTTCAAACTCAAAACTTAAACCTCTTCAATTAGTTGTTACAAATGAAATTTGTCATTTAAAGAATAACGATCCATTAAAGAGAGCCAGTCAATATCAAATGAATAAGCCGTTGAATGTGCCTGTAGAATTGGCCAAGCCCGCGAAAGAATATTATAACAGCGATGCGAAACCCCTGATATTAACAAGTACTGATTTAAAGGTGTAGGTTTATTAGTTGGTTTAATGGAAGTGCGAATTGGAAATAATATCTATATAACAAAAACATTTAATATTTAATTACTTTTTTATATTTATATCTATACGATATTTTTTTTTTATATACATATTAGTTCGTGTAAATAATAATAGTATTATATAGTGTTTCTATTACTAATATACTTCTTATCTGTTATCGGCTAAAATTAGATATAGTGTATTTAGTCATATTTTAGTTTAGAAATTTTTTTTTTTAAATAAACTTTATATATTTTTTTCAACCAATTTGAATTTAGTTATTGACAAAAAAAATAATAAATGATTAAATACAATTTTTTTAAAAGTTTGCTAGTTTGCATAGATTTACGACTACATGTTAATGTTCTGATTTTATTTTTACAAAAACACTTAAAAATATTGGATTTTATATATCACCAATGGTTACAGTCAAGTGGTGAATTTATGATGTAATGCCGGCCAGTGTTTTATTACATTTTTAATTCTAGCTAAAAGTACCAGTATGGTAATAATCACCACTGGGTACTGGTGAGTTTTAGCAATTTTCATTATTATTTCCATGTTTTTTTTTCCTATGTTTTTCAGGTGTTTTTAGACCTATACTAATGTCCAATACTTATTAAGAGATATAAGAAACCAAATACTTCTGAAGGGTTTTTTTTAACCACTGACTTGCCTCCTATTACTAGAAAAACTTAAAGGTAACCTTCTAACTGCATTACATTCAGTAATAGCATGCTGACTTTGCTATCTGCAAGGGAATCTAAAGAAATGGTTATTATCCTAACTAGTGATATTAACGGTCTGGTTTGGTCTGACTTGAAGCCAAAGCCAAATCAAACTGATTGACTTGGACTTCCAAGTCAAACTGATGGGGTCATTAATATCAGTTCCATTGACTTTCCATCAGTCCCATTGACTTGCCTATTGACTCCATTAACCCCATCAGTTTGATCCCATCAACTTGATAAGTCAAGTCAAACCAAACTAAACCAAGACTTAAAAATCTTCAAGTCAAACCAAGTCAACCTCATCAGTTCAGTTTGGCTTGATTCGGTTTGACTTGTACTTAATAATACTAATCCTGATAAAAATCATCAATCATTTAAACTATTCTTTTATAGCTATATATTAAAGATATAAATTTACATAAAACTAGGGTTTCTCAAAATTAAATTGAATTAAATATAAAATTAATTTGAATTTATTAAATGATTTAAATCAAATTTAATTCAAATCAAATTCAAATCAAATACCAAATATTTGTCAAATTAATCTATTAAATTAAAGAATTTTCAAATTCAAATCAAATTCAAATCAAATTCAAATCAAATTCAAATCAAATATTAAATATTAAATCAAATTGTAGAACTCTACATAAAGCTACTATAGATCTGTAATTTTTACTATTTACCACTATAGTCTATATTACAAAATACTAACAGTTGAAATATAGTTGTAAAGATTAAGATACTAAATAATCTGCTACTCCTCTTTAATAACCAGTATACCAAATTTACCTAATAGTTAAATAATTGAATTCAATTTCTAACTTTTTAACTATTTAGTTAATTCTATAAATACTTATCTGATTTATTTATAATATTCTACTTTTATTAAAAGGATTACTATAGAAAAATTATCATACTTAATTGTTTGGATTATAAAATATAAGTATACTACCTTTTATTTATAGTATTATTTAAGTATGCTAATTTTCAAGTAGTATTGCAAAGTAATCATTTAAGCAAAAACTATTTGAAAGGTATTATTAAATAATCTTTTAAATAAGACTCATAAAGTTTTCTAATGCTTTAACTAATAATTATTAATATAAAGATATTATGATTTTTATTAAAATATGCAGCTTAACTATTTATATTAATTCACTATAATGCAGTTTTCAATAAGCTTTATTTTAATACATTTGGTAATTATGTATGTAGTAAAATTCTTTTAATATTTTGTAGGTAGTAGAAATTAAATCTTAGTAAATAATAAAAAAATAATATAATATAAAAGAATTTCACTTACTTATAAAATAAATTACCTCAGATCTAAAGTAAAAATTATATATAAAATTCTTTGCAAATTTTACTATAAAGAAAAATTTTATATTATATTATTATAATTTTTTTTCTTTTTAACTAATTAACCAATAAAATTTAAGAAAATCCTAAGGTAAAGTTTCATATTAAAGTGAAATTTTCACTAGTAACATATCTTAGTAGTAAGCAGAATTCTGATATAAATCAATAATATTATTTATTGTATTCTTTAAATATTGATTATAAGATTTTTATATAGAATTTTTATATTTCTGTTAAAATAAATCTGAAATATTGTTATATATATAGTAAATAAATTTTTTATCAATAAAAATTTGTTAATTTAATATAATTTTTTTTTTATTTTAAAACTTGTGTATTAATTATCTATTGAAAATCATTTTAGTGTTTTATTTTTATTATTTTTTTTTTTACAGCTTTATTATTAGTATATATTATAAGTTTAATACAAAATCTTAAAACTTAAAATGCTAAACTGAAGATATATTATTTTAACACTCTAAATCCTGAAATATCAAAATCCTAAATTGTCATTGATAATTCCAATTCCCAACATTTCATAAGCCTGACACTTTATAATTTTAAAATTCAAAATACTAAAGTGAAAAATCTTGAAATTTATTAATAAAAAAAAGAAAATCAATATTATGGAGTGTCAGGATTAGAGATGCTAGGCAAAACTGAAATATTTAGTTATTTGACAAAACTGAAATAGTTTAGATATTTAAAATTAAAAAACGAAATGCCAAAATTCAATATTTCATAGTAGTATTTTCATGAATTTTTTTAAAATTTCCATGGATTTTTAATTAATAAAAATATTGCAAAATAAATTTTTATTAAAATATAATATTTTTTAAAAAGAATTTATAAAAAACTATTATATATATAATATAATTTTATATATTTTTATAATAAAATTATAATTTTATAGTATAATTAAATTGAAATTAAAAATTATTATTATATAGTTTAGTCAATGATAAAACCAAAACTAGTTGGTAACAAAACTGAAATTCTTGGCAAAAAGAGTTTAGGTAAGCATCACTAATCAGGATTATAAATTCAGAATTTTGACAATTTTGAGTTGGGATTTTGACATTTCAGAATTTAGAGTATCAGAATAATATACTTTTGGGATTTTAAATTTATTATTATATATATATAACTATAAAAATAAAAAAAAATAAAGGTAAAATAAAATAAAACTGATTTAAACTTTTAAGAGTAATGTTATCATTTCAGTAACTATTGTATTATAAAAGATGAAAAAAAATAAAAGAATAAAAGGTTTTATATTAAGAAGCAACACATAAAATCTATTCAAATTTTACCAGATTTTCTGAAAAGTTTTTGAAAAATCTGGTAAAATTTTTTAAATTTTGAATGATTTTAAAAATCTTATCACAAATTTCAGTATTTTTTAGAAGATTTTCAGAATTTTCTAAAAATTTTTGTGTGCTGTTAAGAAGGCTTAAATAAAATAAAGAAATTATAAAAAAGATATTTAAAAAGAAAATAACCATTTATTTAATATAAATAAGAAATATTTTTTAATATCAATAATTAAAAATGCAGAAATTTTAATAAAAATAATTTTTATTTTTTTTTTTTATTTATATATATATTTTTTTTTGCAATATATTCGTAATTTTATTAAAATAAAAATAAAAGAAAATTTACATTATAGTAATTATTTAAAAAACTATCCTAATATTATTAAATTATAAATCATTTGTCATATCTATTGGTATAGTAATAATCTGTTTAATTTAATAACATTTAAAATAATGCATTGTTTTTGACTATATAGGGTCTTTACAATAGAAAGGTACAAAATTTAAAAAAAATTTAAATTTTACTTTATATGCTAATTATGGTTTTTTTTACTGAAATAAATATAAATTTAATATTAATTCAATTTTTGATATTTTTTAAGTTTCATACCTTTCTATTGTAAAGACCTCATATAATTTTATTTTTTTATTAAATAATTATATATATATTTTTTTTGCTAATTGCAGTATATTTGCAAATTTATTAAAATAATACTAGTAATTATACATAAAGTAAAAAACTATAAAACTAAAGTACTAAACTAATATTATTAATTTATAAACCATTTGTTATTTTTTTTATAAAACTATACATGTGCACTAATAGATAATTATATTAGTTAATTAGGTAAATGATATTTAAAATATACCATTTTAATATATTATCCTAATGTTTATACTTGGTAACACTATACTGCAATTAAGCAAAAGATTTTTTTAATTTCTATAGTTGCTTATATCAGTTTTATATCCATTAGTAATTAAATCAATTAGATGATTCTTGCATCTAATAATGCAGTTAATTAGGATTTTATATCATTTGTCAGTTAACTGAAATGATAAATATTTGTTTGACTCATTTAAAACTCTACATGAGCTAGCTCATAAGCCAAAAATACTTTAAAAATATATTAGCTTACGAATCAGCTTGTGAATCAAATATATTTTTAAAGTACTTTTGGTTTGTGAACTGGCTCATGTAGAGCTTTAGACTCATTCATATGTGTAAAAGAAGTTGAAGTTAAATAATTTTAACAGATTTAGTGATACCAGCTTTTTGTTCAGCTTGTATCATTTTTTCATAATACAATTTTCAAATGTATTTGTAAAATATATTGAACTATTTTTTCAGCAATTATTTTAAAAGCTTTACCTGAAATTTGTTATTTTATTTTAGATAAAATAGTGTTAGAAATAAGGTCTCTTATTAATTTAACATGATTACAGATTTTATTAATTTAGATAAAGCAGTATTTTTGTATTTAAAAATGATTTTTCCCAAGTTTATAAGGAGATAATAGCATATTTCAAATGTTTCTTAATGTATTCTATGATTTTTTTTGTAACTTTTTGCTTTACTAAGGTGA